CCCTTCCTTTGCCTTATGGTGAAAAGGCTGGCGATACTTTTCTTCTGCTTCTTATTTTCACAATACTGGGCTAAGAACATAGTGCACAAGGTCTCATAATCAGGGATAGACTTGTGTGGCCTATTCCTGAACCATTCTAACGCTGCTCCGGTTAAACTGGTAGGAAAAACCTTACACATCCACGGATCGTTATGATCATCCAGTGCCATCTTTTGTGCATAATGATCGAGATGCCGAGAGGGGTCTCCTGCCCCATCGAACTGGGTGAAGGATGGCATAGTGAACTTTTTTGGTCTCTCCACAAGGTACACATCGTCAGTAAAGGGGGTCTTGACCAAGGAGTTCTTGTGCTCTCTAGCCATCTCGGCTGGTGTCTGAACTCTTAATAGCTTCTTTTCGTCGAAGGCATCTTGTACGCGTGCGCCATCTGGAACGCCATTAGACCATACCGTAAGCCTATGGCTGGACTCGGCCTGTTCGTCCTGTGTCACGGGAGATTATTCGAAGCAACCGCCTCGGACCTCGTCCCTTGCTTTTGCTGAACCTCATTAGGTTGAGCCCCGTTGGGTGGTGTCCCGTTGGCCGGAGGCTCATGAACTAGAGGTAAATTCTGGGTGGGGGATGGTGCTGCAGCATCGCCTGGTGGTGGTTGTGGCGTTAGCCTGGCCATTGCCGTGTACAGCGTATGAGTCTGCTGCTGAAACGCAGCTATCTGGGCGACACTCGTATCGTTTGCTTGCCGGAATGTCTCAAATTGGTGCAAGAACTCCTATCGCATCTTTTGCATCAATTCTATCTGTTGATTCATTGCTGACTCTCTGTTTGACATTCCAGATACGACTAAGGATTTGATTTGAAGAACAAGTGGGAGTATATTTTTATACGATTCCCACAGACGGCGCCAAAATGTAGGTACAAAATTTCGCTCAACCAATAATGATTAAGAAAAATAAAACAACTCACTCAATCAATAGTAAAATAAACAAGAACAATATATCTCGAAGCGTAGAATTGCTTGATCCCTTTATTGGAGGTCTAAGCCTCTATTTATATATAAAAGATTGTAAAATTATGGTAGGACTCGCGTTGCTTGCCCTCCAATTCTTTCTATATAAACATTCTTTACTAATAGAGTTCTTTCCATTGTCTAATTTTCCATACATAGAACTTGCCTTGTACAGAACTTCCTATCTCAGAATTTTCCTTCTACGGTAAATCCTTCAACTGGTAGGACTTGTGCATTCTTGAATAATTGGGCTGAACATATTTTGATCCGGCTGGGCTTAAGTAACGGACCGGATGTTAAATATTAACAAGTTGGGCTGATGACCTCTTGATTCAGCCTTGATGGAGGTTGGAGGACAAATAACAATGGTCTTGGGCTATAAGTACCCTCAATTTGGGCTTGAGCATGATGGGCCTTATATGTCCTTGGAATGTAGATATGTGTAGTGATAATGTGTGCGCTTTTTATTGGAGGGAGTTTTTTTCCCTCCACAACATTCTTGATCATGTCTTATCTTGGACTCCATCTCTTTAACTTATGTTTATAATACTATTAACACCTTTTATTTCAGCTTTGGTATATGTCAAACTTTTGGTCGTAATTAACACCTGCTAAATTTAATACCTTAATATAAGCTATTAGCATTAAGCAAGGTTATAGTTTCATATTTTGGAAATATATGATTATAGGAAGGTTATTTTGGTATTTTACAATAAGGACTTGGATGATATTTTGGGTCCTAATGATAATTTTTGATGTATTTGTAATTATTTTATTTGATTCAATCAAATTAAAAATAAACTTTTAAAATAAATTATTTTGTTATTTAAAGTTCCTAACTTTACTTCTGTGTAATTTTTTCTTAATTTTTTCTCTTTAATTTTTTTATTAATAAAACTTAACCAACTCTTGGTCAACTAAGATATTGGAAAAATTAGCCCAAAAGCAATCTAAGCCCACTAATGTTGTCACGTTGGTTGGACCGAACTTTCAGCTAGGCAAGAGAAATGGTTTTGTCTTCTCTTTCTTTTACTTTGTCCTTTTGGCGAAAATACTCTTTAAATTTTTTATTTCAGTATTCAGTGAGTTTCTTAACAATTAAAATTGACTGTCAAGCACTCGCTGAGGTTACATTTACATGTATATTGCGTTAAAGAAAACTTAGTTTAAATTTATTTTAATTTTAATTATAAATAGTCAATTCAATACTTTGCTAAAAAAGTATTGTTCACACTGAAAGAGAAATTAAACAATGATCTAAATATCACGAGCATTAATTGTCACCCCTCAATAAGTATGGTTAATTTCAAAACTATGGACTTCAAGAAGTGGCTGAAGCACGGCCCTTTGAACTCTTCAATCCATTCCAAAGTATAAATGTAAATGGGCTAGACATTAGCGGATAAGGATTTTATCTAACCGAGAGGTTCAACATAGAATTTAGTGATTAAAATTTCATTTAGACATTAACAACTTTTTTTTATTCTTTTAGTAATAATAAAAAATGATTGATATTAAGAAAAAACTAGGGTTACATGCATTGAAAGAGGGACAACAAGAAAACATTAAATTAATTTGTTCCCATACTTGGTTTATAACTCGAAAAAATAATTTTTCTAAATTCAAAAAATATAAAATTATTTTCAAAGAACTTTAAATGATGACAATTATCAGCAAAGGAGTAACTATTAATGGGCTAACCTGGGCTATAGCCCAGGTCCAACTTAAAAAAAAAAAAAACAAAAATTAGTACTATTGTTCATATAAGCCCAGTGCATATGGAATTAATTTGTAGTGTTACTCTTTCTCTTCCTATTAACTCAACTGTTCATGTGTTTATCTGGGCTATATGCTGTTACTATCCTTTTTTTTTTGAACTGTTTTATCTTTTAATTTTTCCCCTCTTTAAGTAATAATATAAATTATTGTAATTAGAAACCACAATTCAAAAAGTTTACAACAGCTAGAAAGATTTAACTTTTTATTCAAATTAAGACATAAACTCATATTTCCTATAGCATGGGCAATATTATTTCAAAACCTAATCACATTTATTAATTAATAGTTGAATGGATGTTCAAGATTTAATTGGATAATTTTTTATTTTTTATTTTTTACCTGGAAACGAATTCCAATGGATACTTTGATGGTAGATAACAAATATGTTCTTATACCTAATTTTAAGTTGAGATCTAAACTTGGTAAAGTAGGCTTCTAGGTCCTTTCGGATCGGATTTGCAGTAAAAAATGATCAATTTCATGATTTAGTTACTTGGACATAGAGTAAGACCATATTGAATACAATATTCCTTTTTACCATATCTCACTTCTATAAGAAAATTTTCTAATATTTCACAACTTTTATTGTGTTCATCTTCAAATTTTCTTATCTTTAGCCCCTACTTTGCAATCCTGACTCCGCCCCTAATTATAGGCAACATGTTTTTTTATAACTGAATTTTTATTAAATTAAATCAAGCATATATAGGTTTTATTCAGTTATTATTTGAAAATTAAAAACTATTTTTTGATTGACGATCTACGTAAGTTTTTGTGTTATTATAATTCTTTCAAAAAGTTTACATTGGCACCATTAATACAAAGTTAAAATCTTTATTCTAAGTTTCTTATATGTAAAATTGTTACATTAAATTAAATCATTCCTTTTTCATTTTTATGGTATTTGATTGAGTTTTTGTAAATTTTATGAATAAGATAATTGTGTCTATGTTAATCATATATGAAACATCAACAAATTTTAGTTTGTAAAATTGTGAGTCATGGTTCCCAAAACAGAATATTTATTTTGGGACAGAGGCATTATATATAGTTTCGCAAATGTATATAAGTAAGCTGATATTGAGGCTTCACATTTAACCTCACATGTACTGTCCAGCTTTTAATTTTAATAATACTTTTATCTCATATTAATTGTTCATTTAAAAAAATTTTGCAAGTCAAAATTATTAAAGTAGATATCTAATATAAAATACAAATAATATATAAATATATAAAAAGAATATGATTAAAAATTATCTCAAATGTGTCAAAAATAAAATGGGGCAGTAAAGTGAAAGTTTATGAAATGGACATAGGAAGTACTTGAAATGACAAGTTGACATCTCTTAAATGAACCCAATTGGGGCAATGAAGTCTACAAAGCTAATTTTGGAAATAAAAAAATAAGGTCAAAAATGACATTTCAATTACTAAATTTTAAGGAAAAATTACATATAAATGGAGTCAAAGTTCCATATTTACTTAGAGGCTGAGTCAAAGTTCCATATTTCTCTAAAATGGATTGCTGAGGTGGCACATGGTTTTTTACTGTTTAGAAATTGTGGTGCCTAAAATACCCTTCCGCGAAGGTATTACTTTTTCTTCGAAGGTACTACTTTTTTGAACTGAAGGTACTACTTTTTGGTGTCCAGGTACCATGTTTTTTAAACACCCGCGAAGGTACTACTTTTTCTCCGAAATTACTACTTTTTTGAACGGAAGGTACTATTTTTTTGAACTGAAGGTACTACTTTTTTGTTAGGGAAGGGCATTTTAGGCACCACAATTTTCTAAATAGTAAAAAATCATGTGCCACCTCAGCAATCCATTTTAAAGAAATATGGAACTTTAACTCAGTCTCTAAGTAAATATGGAACCTTAACTCCATTTATATGTAATTTTCTCAAATTTTAAAGGTCTACACAGCTCCCTAAGAAAGAGCCCACGTGGCACATAAAACCCAATGAACGGAGCTAATTGGCAAAACCATCCCCAACCATTTGGACCCCCTGCCCTTAATTTGACCACCCACAAACTCGGTCAAAACACAAACCCTCCTTCCTCCGATCCACAAATCACAACCAAACCCTAAAATTTAACTGTAACAAACTGTAGCTGTTGTCCACCCCCACAAACCTTCCCGCCTTTTCCGCAAATATTCCTCCCTTCTCTTCCTATATATTCCCCTCCATTCCCCAACAACATCCTCAGGCATTCTTGGTTTTGCAGTATTTCTCTATACCATATATAGAGAACTAACTGCAAAAACAATGGCAAGACAAATTGTAGCTCTTGCCCTCATCTTCGTGGCCATTATCGGCTCAGTTTATGCAGCAGACAATCCGGCGACACCCTCCGCCCCGCCTCAAGGCGGACAACAACAAGGTGGCGGACAACAACAAGGTGGTGGTCAACAGGGAGGACAACAACAGGGTGGCCCACAACAAGGTGGCGGACAACCACAGGGTGGCGGACAACAAGGTGGCGGCCAACCACAGGGTGGACAACAACAAGGTGGCGGACAGCCACAGGGTGGCCAACAACAAGGTGGTGGACAACCACAGGGTGGCCAACAACAAGGTGGCGGACAACCACAGGGTGGCCAACAACAAGGTGGCGGACAACAACAGGGTGGCCAACAAGGTGGCGGACAACAACAGGGTGGACAGGGCGCCGCTAATGCCCCAGCACAATCAGGCCAACAGAACCCTCCTCCTGTAGCCGCCGCCCCTAAGCAGGAAGGCAACAACGCCGCCCAACCACCTAAGCAATCCCAACCCACCCCCGCAGCTCCACCTAAGCAATCCGATAGCGCCGCCGCTCCCCCTAAGCAATCCGATAGCGCCGCTGCTCCACCTAAGGCAGACAAAGCCGCCGCTCCCCCTAAGCAATCCGATAACGCCTCACCACCAAAGGCTGACGCCCCCGCCCCTAAGTCCTCTTCCTCCGGCTCTCCAAAGTCTTCTTCTTCCGGTTCATCTACCCCATCTGAATCTCCCAAGGATGACTCCTCCGCATCTTCTTCCCCCCCGAAAAGTGGTGATGATGCTAGCTCTCCCCCAGCTGCCGGAGGAGCTGCTCCCTCAGAAGGAGGAGGTGATGGCTCAGCTCCCGCTGGAGTCGCTGAGGCACCTAAGAGTGGCACCACCGCTTTGAAGGTCACTTCTGCTGCCGGTGTTGCGGCCGCAGCCGTTGCTGGTTTCTTCTTATTCTAAATTTTATGAAAAGCCATTTAGGGGTGTGTTTGGATATCAACTGATTAATTAATGCTGTGTACTGTTCATATATACGTGCTTCATTTTCGTTGCACTAGATGAGAATAAAAGTTTTATAAGCCATGCACTGCATGGTGATTTCTATAAGTTTGTTTATTCATGACTTTGTAACACACAAGGTATCTTTTCGGTCGACATATGTTGCAACTTATTTAATGTACTCAATAATTATATAATGTACGTATATATTCTGAATTAATTTAACATCCACCTGAGATTTTTTTTTTTTTTTTTTTCTTTTCTTTGGCACATTCACTTGCATATACGAAAAATTGAATCCTCAAATTTTCACTTTGAAAAGTGAAAAATTAAACCCATGCATGCATGTTTTTATTTCTGCTCTTATTTATTCAGTTTCTTATTCTGCTTTCGGGGTTTAATTTTTTGTAAAATGATGTTTTCGAGCATGCTTGAAAGTTGAAACCAGTGTTGTTGCGCACCTTTTAAATTTATTATTTTTTTACTAGTCCAGTGGGCTCTGCTGTGTTCGTGAATGTTTCTCGGCTGGGCTGGGCTTTGCTGTAGAGCCTACTTGTTTTTTTATCTTGCTTTGAGCCTGTGTTTGTCTGGCCTTAATTGGTCCTGTACATGTACATGTAAACGCATCCTTTGCTTTATCTATACAAATTTATTACTTAATGGGATAAAAAATATATTTATATATACACATATATTTTGACATTTTTTTTTTTTTGTAACTTCATTATATTAGCGAGAGAAAATACTCTCTTATGAAAAAATTATTACATGCTCTCGGTCAATCATTAATTGACATGTGAGTAAATGTGACAATTTGATTTCTCTTTTTGCTTATGTGTCAACTAGTAATTTATCGAGACCATATGATCCCAGATCATGTAATAATTTCTCCTCTTTGATTGGCAATTCACGGTGTGGTGTGTCAGAGATGGTTGGAATCAACCTAATATTGTTGAGTTGATCTAACTAGCCGCATTTAGTCTCAAATTCACTCACATTAATCATTACTCCCTCGGTTTTAAAATAAATGTTTATCTTTCTATTTTTTACTGTCCAAAATAAATATTCCAATTAAAAAGTCAAAGTAATATATATATATATATATATATATATATATATATATATATAATAACATTACCTATTTAAACCTTCTTCTTGCATTGAACTTATAAAACTTTAAAAATATATTTGATAATTTATTCGCTCTAATACAATAAAAAAATTATACTAAAATTCATCATCTTTGAAAGTTATATTCCCAGACAAAGGGAGTAGCAGCACAATCAAATTATATCTTTCCTCCGCAATGACATTCTAAGTTTTAAGTTTAATTTCGACCGACAATTTGTAAGCGAATGTTAACTGACAAGGTCCTTAATTAATTGGAGATCATATGATATAATTTATATGTGGTTATCTGATTCATATTTCTGTTCAAAGGAACAGGTTTTGTAGTGAGAGTTGGTGGTTGAAGGATGAATTAAAGCAACAATAGTTGTCTGATAAAGCTTTTTTTGAAGGAATTAATGGGGACATACATAATAAGATGATGATGAGTCCGAGTTTTTAGGCCCACTTGAGGCGACATATTCCCCATGATTGACGGGCCGACCAATAAGTCTTTGAGCCCAAATTATCCCTCACGTTCTTTGATCCGATGCAAATCTGAGAGCGCTGATTGGCAAATAGGCAGCACCTATAGTGAATGCAGACTTTGTTATCACCATTGACCAACATAATTCCTTCCCTAGGGACCCACAACAAGAAAATGAGTGGCAATTTTATTTTTGTTTTTGTATATATATGTTGAAGTAGTTTTTCAGTTTTGATTACGTATATAGACATTTTTTTTTTTTTACCAACCAATGCTGCATAATATATATATATCTATAGGTTTTCTTTCTTTCTTTCTCTCCTTTTTATTTTTTATATTATGTCATACAAAATTGATAACCTTTGAGTTCTATTCCCTCTATTTCATAAAAAGTATTATGTTTGAAAAATCGTGACTTGACACTTTTTATTCGACAAAAGAAGTAATTAATTAAAATCTGATGATTTGGGCTGGCTCAAATTTGAATCTTATCCATCATATGTGCATGTTGGGAGTTTTGTCGCACATGAGTAGCTTCCCAACGTGCCACCTTTTAAGTTAGTTCATGAAAGAATGGACAGACCTTGATCGATCAAGAAATGACACATATACATCCAAGAGAAAAATATACATATATATATATATATATATATATATATATATGTAGTATAAGTTTTCAGTTTATTCAACACTTCTAGCTGCTCTTGTTTTCATTTAATTTAATCCATTGAGGATGTCACAGCAATCCAAAATGGTTCTACAAGGAAACAGATAGAGGTTGAAGAGTCACAAACAGTAGTAGAAGGAAAATTTAGAAAAAGAAAAAGGGAAGAAAATGAAGCCTAGCAAAAGGAATACCATAGACTAGTACTGAAGCTAGGGATGCATATTTTTTTCTTTTCCCATTGCTTTTCTCTTTCATTTCTTTAGATATATTTAGCTAAGTATATAAGTAGGATCACCATTAACATGGCTGATTTTCTAAGTTAATTAACAACGAGAGCCCTTCCGGCAGTTGAGTGCACCCGCAGTTGTGGTAATTTCCCCCACCAGAGAAGATGGCCTTGCACTTAAGCTAGAAGCCCTAGCATATGTCCCCGATGCACCGGCCCCGGACTGCCGGAAATACGCTCCGTTCAGCATCAAGTCCCCTTCTGACCTCCAGTTCCAGCGCCTCCATTCACTTTCTGGTGCATCCTCATGTTTGGTCACCTGCATGAAAATATACAAATATTTATTAAATGAAACTATATTATACACACACAAACTGACACACATGAATGTGAATGTAGTTCTCACCTCTTTCCTAAATCTAGCATCAGGTGCCAGAAATCTATTCCCTTGGCTGTTGATGGTAGGGGCTGCACTCCCACCAATGGCATACATTTCCCAATGTGTGTAGTCATTGTTCACCACATGAAAATACCCATGTCTACATCTGCAAATATTAAATCACGCAAGAGCATTAAAAATTATTATTATTATATCCTAATATTTCAATCATATTGTCTCTGTTTCTTATATATTATAAAAATAATAAAGAAAAAGTTTACAAATTGAAAAATGATATACTATTTCAAAGTTCAATTACTTGGACTGTTTTATTTGAACAGGAGTGACGTTAGTTATTATTATGACTTCATAACAACGTCATTTTCCACTCACACAAATGTGTATCAGAAAGCCGGACTTAGCTATTAGCTAATTACGATAACGATAAAGTATAACATTACCTGGGCATCCTTTGCACAAGCCCTTCACCAAAATGGTTGAAAGCAACGGTGACTTGCATGTTCTTGTCCTGTGTGAATGAGTCACTGTGCCCTAAAAGCATGACCTTGTCATGATGGGTCATGTAGTTATTAGAGATGGTAATGGCTGTAGATCCATGGATGACATCAATGAGTCCATCATTGCAATTGGACAAGGAGCAATGATCCACCCATATGTGCTTTCCAGCCAAAATGGACACACCGTCACCGTCCGACACCCTCCAATACCCGGAATGAGTCGGAGAGTCCCTGATATCACCACTCCCTCCTTGTTTACAGTCATGTATGTGGATGCCATGTATGATGATGTTAGAAGCATAATGAATGGTGATGCATGGCCCATCGGCAATGTGAACGCTCGCACCCCTACCATCAATGGTCTTGAATGAGTTCATCACAAGCTCTTTGTTCAGCTTGATCACCATGTCACGTTTGAAGACGATCCACAACGGCTCATCCTGTATCACAGCATGTCTCAGAGTTCCTGGCTTAGGGTTCACAGCATCGTCGTCGCCGGAGTCGGTGACCACGTAAATCCTTCCATTTCGTCCTCCAATTGCGTCCTTACCGAATCCGATGGCGCAATCAGCTAGTCGTTGGCGATTGTTCTCCCAATTGGGGTCACAACGCCAGCAATCGTCGATGGGGTTGCCAGTTCCACATGAAAGATAGCCTAAGTTCCTCCTAGACGCATTGATGCTCCTGTAAAAATATAAAGGAAACAAAATTTTAGCCATTGTTGAAATGTTGCAGTAAACTTATTATATAAGTTTGTAGCATTAATTACCTGTGAACATCTTCTACCACTAGGTCAGGGTCTTGGACTGGTGAGGAGGAAACAAGAGCTAGGTTTAGAAGGGAAAACAGGAGGAGAAGAGAGAATGGGATGGTGATTGCCATTTTCTTTTCCACTGTTTGGAAAGATGGTTGATGGAGGGGGTGAGAAATGAGGGTGTGTTTGGGTGGGGTTATAAAGGAATAAAGCCGGGATAAATGGCGTGATTAACCTGAATTAACATGTAGGGTCCAAACCGCCTTGTAATTTCAGGTTTACTTTGCCTTTGTTCTCATTAAGTTGGTAGTTTAAACAGTTATAAGATATAAAGCATGATTTTCTCTCCCTCTAATTATGCTTTGTGTACTACAAAACCTTGTGCTTATTTTTCAAACTTTGTAGACAAAAATGCTGACCCATGTTTCGCTCTCAATTAAGTCGCACCACTTTGTAGGGAATCTAATTTTTTTTTTTTTTGGTTCGATAAATACTCATACATTTACAAATACTCACTACGGGTTCAAAACACTCACTTCTCTTTAGAGGTGAAGGGTAGTTCTACGAACGAAACTAAAGACCCAATGGTACTTGTTGACATGAATATATATTGAATAATGTTAAATTAATCCGGAATATTTCAAGTAAACATAAAAGAAAAGAAACCATGTGTGAGTGTATTTTAAACCCAAACTACTAAATGTTAATGTCTGAGTGAGTTTATCAAAATCAATTATAGTTATGTTTTTAAAACTCCATAGTTACAAATTTTTAAGTTTAAGCATGCAAATTGAGTGTACCATAATCATGAGTTCGAGCAGATTAATGACAAATATTAGATAGGTATACAATCATTCTTGTGATGTCTTGATATATGTAACACTATGAATAAGACCAAGTTTAAATAAATAATGGGGGTGGAAAAACCTTCTATGATTGGAAATAATTAAACAAATAATAAGGGTTATCATTTTTAAGGTAACCAAAAATAGAAGGTCCAAGTTTGTTTTTTTTTTTTTTTTTTTTTTGGGTAAAAAAGGTCCAAGTTGTTAGTTAGTGGAGTTGAAACTGAAACCATTTGAATTGAGACAATGTCACATCTACCATCATGCCTTTCATTGACTTCTTCATTTTTCTCTCTTTTGGAGTTTTAGAGGTTGTCCATTTTTGACCTGAGGAGTATTGATTAATGCCTTAACAAAGGGAAATAGATTCTAATATTCCATCATCTTTTTCCTTCCACTGACTGCGGAAGAAACTTTGGTTTACTAATTAATTAAAATTCACATAGAACAGGTAGTCTTTGGGTTATCGTCGTCCATTTTGTTAATTCGATTTACCTGAAACAGATCTCCTCTTCTTCTAACTCATTATTCCTCTTCCTTATATTCTCTCTCTTTCTCGCCCCTCTTCTTTCTTTTCTTTGTTTCTCTATCTATATCTACTCTATATGTTCTATATGCATGTTTATGCAAAAAACTATATATGTATATATGATTTTTGAATCCATAATTTAGGTTTAAAGGGCGGTGTATTCTAGTAACATTTTATTTACTTTTTAAAAGAAATAATAAGGGTTGAAATTCTTGTGTGAATAAATGAATGTGTGAGTTTCTGTCAATAAAATAAAAAAAATTCTAAAGTTTAAAAGATCCTAAGATTATCAATCTTCAAATAAAATACATGTTTATCAGTTAAAACATATTCATTTTATTAGTATTTCAAGCATAACTTATGAGTTAGAGTAGGATTGTTCATGAAATTAAAATTGTTACTGAAGGATGATATTTAAATTTGATAATATATACGACTAATTTTCATTGTCAAATTCAATAATCTAAAAAAAAAAAAAAAATTTGATATATTATAGAATTGGGCTTCTAGAAGACTAGAACCATCATCACATATTACGTAATTATGTGGGAATCATGAGATGTTACTGGCGTGACTCACATTAATTAGCCACAATATTTTATAATTTTTATCTACTTTTTTTTATCCGACAATTTTGAGAGCCTTAATTTTCACTTTTCAACTTTATCCGGTTTAATCTCTTTGAGGTCAAAGAAACTGTATCAAATCATTACGCTATCATTTTGGTCCAGTCAGACTTATACCAGCCTCGGCCCAACTTTTAAGTGGGCCTAGGCTGATAGTGTCTGTGCTCTCTAGACTTGGCTTAGGCAGTAACTTTGTAACTATTCCACCTTAAATATCATTGGGCTTTGGTAGAACCATACCATCAAAGGGCCTTCTATTCAAGACTTGTTCGGTATCTATTAACCCAAACTTTTTCGAACCCTTCATAAGATTGTTTGGTGTAGTCCATCGACGATCATTTAATCACTTTAAAGACCTCCATGATCGTTTTCCCAAAAGTCGGACACATGGGACAATATTTATACGAATGAGAAATGACGTATTAAGGGCTTCTTTGACTAATGTTTTTACTTTGTGTGTTTTTTTTTTTTTTTGTTAGTACACTGTAACAAAGTAAAAGTACAAAGCATATTTAGTAACATTTGCAGTCATTTAAATAGTACCGCTTCCAAAATTGAGTTTAAAATCAAAAGCATCAAAATGGTGCTTTTGTTCATTTTTATTTATTTATTATTTATTTATTTTTTCTAAATTAACATTTTTTACTAACCGTTCAAATTTTCAAACTTACAATACTTTTTACCAAACATGTTCTTATATTTTTACTTTAAAAAATCTTGTAATAAATTTACGTTACCAAAGAAGCTTTGAAATAGTGTTGAACATATTCTAAAGTGGAGGCATTGCTTCTACTTCGCATCAAAGTAAAAGTACAAAACAACTATGATTTGTCAAACGAGCCCTAAGTTATCTCCCACGGATATAAAAAGAAAGAAATTGATGTGTCCAACCATTCAATTACTTATCATTTTCCTTCATTAATGGTTAGATTGTGATATTGGCAAGTGGAGTATTAATGATGTTGATAATGATGGTGATGGCAATTGATTTTTTTGCTAAAAATGTTCTTAGGACTAGTTATTAAAATGATAATGGAGTTCTAAGAAATAGGGTTGTAAATGAGCCGAGCCGAGTTTTGGGTTGTTCGAGCTTGGCTCGTCATCTCCAGAGAAGTGCTCGGGCTCGGCTCGTGTTCAGGTGAGCTTGAGCTAGTCGAGCTTGGTAGAATTGCGAAAAGCTCGGACTCGGCTAGGCTTGGGCTTGGTTACATACCCTACCATCACAATACAATAAACAACACATATCATTCATGAAATCTGATCGGTCTCTTCCATGAAATCCGATCTCCACCTCCAACAAAAACGAAGAAGAAGAAGAAGAAGAAATACAAACAAATTTTCAAGATCAAAATCACACTTTACAAGATTTTAGAGACTCGATCTAAAGATATTCCACTACCTGAACTTAAACGTGCGTTTGAGAGAGACATCAAGATCCATTTGAAGGAGAAAGAATGGTGTCGCCGTTGTTTATGGGATTATCTGAAGATCCCTTATCGCTTCCGCTGGAGACTTTTTATTTTAGGGTTATACAGTTATACTTATCTTTTAACTTAAAGATAATCAACCGCTGAGAAGATGAATAAGTATTTAATGGTTGAGATGTAGTTTTATTTGAATGTGGGTTAAAGTCTTATAATTCTTTCGGCCATTATGTGAATTGGGCCAAACTTATATTCATTTGGACCAAACCTTTTAAATATAAAATTGTAATACAAATGGGCTTTCTTAACGAGCTTGCTCACGAGCCTAACGAGCCGAGCTCAAGGTTGCTCCAGCTCGGCTCGTTACTAAACGAGCTTGAAAATTGGGTTCGAGTTCGGCTTGTTTATTAAATGAACGAGTCCGAGTCGAGCTTTTAACGAGCCGAGCCTGAGCTGTTCATGAACAACTCGGTTCATTTGCAGTCCTACTAAGAAATGTTTTAGACGCTATTCCATAATTCATAGGAAAAAAGTAGATTATAGGACCCAAAGAAAAATTTAATAAACGAATGTTGTACTCGTATAGTGGACCGTGGTCATTAATACTATAACACTTTTAGATAAAATTATTTTTTATTGGTCACTTTATTAATATTTTTCCTAGTTTTAATTTTGACAAAAAGATACATGTTTCAGAATTGAATACTGATACTTACACTCAACATTTAGAGTAAATTGTCTAATGAAATAATTTTTAATTGGATATTTATACCAAATACAACTAAGTAGATGACTCCACTTCCTTATTTGTTACATAATTGACCAATTAAAAGAATATGTCTAACAATTTATTATAATTATTCGGTATAAGAATCATTTTCCTTCAAAATTTTATTGAAGTATACATATAATTTTTGATAATAAATAGAGCAGTAGATAACTTTTTTAGGAGTGTAAATACAGTTCACTGCAATTACTGGAGTACTAAATTAATTTGACTTTTGTAATGTTAAATATTAAAAAGTCTCATTTAGGTGAAGCATTTAGAGCCAAAATTATTTCAATATCAACCTTGTTGTAAGACAGTAATGTGACTTCCAAATGTGTTTACACAACACTTCTCAAAATTTGTGTATAAAAGAGAAATTATTATTTGAATAATTCAACTCTTCAATGAAAATAAATTTCTTTAACATTATTAAATCTCGAAGGTTCATTATAATTTACAATTTGTTGGGTTTGAGATTAGTGAATTGGTGCCTTAAATGTAAAATTGAAGAAATTTTAGTTCAGAGTTTAAATTAACTTTTGTCCAATTTCAATATCAAGACACTCCCAAAATCCTAACTTTGTAGTTATTTAGTGTATATAATGTAAAAACTGATATTTTTGATATTTTATACATGTGTGGAAAGACTTCACGAGAAATTATTATATAATTTCAAGATCATTGATTTCGGATCAATTATTGTTTGATAAATAAATTTGTAAATTTGATAAATAAATTTGTAAATTTTACGTCGGTGATCATGCAAAAATATCTCCTGCTTCACAATAAAAAATCTAAAAAAAAGTGCATCAATAATAAAACCCACCTTACACTTTCTGGTGAAATTAAGTTTGTGTTCTTTTGGCGAGTTGGATGGGATCACTCTGCATTTTCTTTTCTGCCAAACACAAGTAAACAAGATGGAGGTCATAAATGGTCCCCCATTGATGTGAAGAAGAAATGTGAGTACTGTGGTTGAGTCAACAATGTTATGTCACGTAGCACATTGTTAGTCACATACCTATATTTCAATATAAGATCTTCACTTTTATTTATTTATTTATTATTTTCTTGGTGATAGTAGTATACCCTTAAAAAATTATTTACATCTAAAAAGATTCAAATCTTAGATTTGATATTTTCTGAGATACCATAACTAAGTTTACTTTTTTTTTTTTTTAATTTTTTATTTTCTATCTTGGAATTCATAACTTTTTCATTGCATTTTCCTTTCGATCCCCTTTCCAGTAAGTTCAATTTAGCTTAGACTTTGATGAGAAATAAGGTTATGAAAACAACAATGTGGTGAATAAAGTAACGAGTAAGCTCTTATTATTAACTGTCTATTGAGATAGTTATTAAAAATATTCATTTGATTTTTTACATGTATCAAAAAATGCAATGAGATCTCATGACTTTCGTTTTTTTAGAGCCTTCCAAATTCGAGATATTATTAGACATGCATAGTTTCGAGTGGTCCGGCGCTAGAAAGCATGGACCCTGTACTCCCTATACTTAGGGGTGCCATGCATGTGTCAGACACTAGGACACTGGCGGTGTCAACCTTAAGACACCAATTAGATATATGTCAGATACGAAAAATAATATATTTTTTTCTTGAACACATATTGAAAATTTTCAAGATACCGAGTGTCATGCCTGTGTCAGACGCTAGGACACCAGTTGGATACATGTCAGATATGAAAAATAATATATTTTTTTTCTTGAACATGATTAGGACACATTTTGAAAATTTTTAAGACATGATGAAGTAATTTTGTAATTGTATGTTTTTAAAGAAATGGATCTAATGTAATTTAAATTATATTATGGATAAAATAAAAATAAAACACATCTAGCTGTAAGTCCAAAATAGTGATTTTATTCACCAAGATAAAATGAGTAAAAATTATTATTATTTTTATCCATAATAATATATTATATTAATAATATATATTCTTTTGACATGACCATATCTAGTGTTCTATTTTTTTTTACATTTATCATATCATCGTGTCCTATTCGTGTCCATATTTGTGCTTCTTATGTTTGGAGCCAATCCCTAGCTAACTCACGAACTGTTATGTCAATTTTATGTTAACTTTATTCAGATTTTATTTTCACATTAGCTAGTGATGGGTCGGATCACCCCGATTATGAGTAATAATTCTCATTGCATACTATAAAGCATCTTAAAAATAAAAAACCTTTAAATCTTGTGGTGAGTTGGATATTTGAAATAAATCATATTCAGACAATATAGGTGTGATGGATCATTAAAAGCTATCACTTATCATGTAAGCCTGGTAAGGTAATCCATGAAAAATGTTTCAGAAGCCTTTCCTACTCTGGAAGACATAAATGCCATAGAGGTGACTGACAAAATATATCTATATATATATATATATATATATATATATTTGAAATCTACTTATCATCAAGAGTGCATTCTAGCACTTGACTTTTTGTGGATTGATGTTATGCAACTGTGGCCATATCCCAAAAAAGGAATAGGTGTTTTGAATCCAAACACCTCCTTGTGTGATTTGCTCTGCCACCCTCTCAACTGTATTCTAGATAATAAAACCTATCATCCAATTGGGTGATGATATTTTTATATATAATACAATTAAATAGTGTGTATTGATGAAGTAATTGGACAAGATTTGACAATATTAATTATGTTGACAAACCCATTTCTCTTTTTAATTTTTTCAATAAATTTACATAAATTTATCACTCACATAAATGGAACAATTCAAAAACACACACACATATACATACATAGAAAACATATATATATATATATACACACACACACATACATATATATATGTTTTCTATCTCATTTATGATATATCACTCGATTCACTCGTCCTCTTTCACGGTTTCACCTCTGTTTTTGCAGATTCAACTTTCACGGTTTTGAAGCAAAACTACCGATTGAAAATGATCACGTGACTAGCATTTGCCCATAAAAGCAAGTTGCATTTGAACACTCACAGCGCATATTAGCACATCACGTCACTCCACTCCCATCACGCGCCAAAAACCCAATCCATCTACCGAAACGAAATCTAGAAAAAGCAACCCAATCCATATCTCCATCCAATCACTTCTGTCCACCTGTCAAAAAGGCCACGTATCCCCGTTTTAGTACCATCATCATCTCTTCGTACAAGTCACAGAGGACTCAAACGCCCTTTCTCTTTCTCTCCAAAAAGATCCCAAAAAGCTTCACTTTTTTCTCGCTTTTTCTCTCACTACAGCATATACGTGTAGAGAGGGGAAGTGTTTTTAGAGAGAGAGAGAGTATGTGCAACAATAACTCTCCCAGTCCTATGCTCAACAAACCAGCGCGTAAAATTAGAACCAAGACGAGGAAGCCCAAGTTCCTCAGCCTCCTCCTAGAGCTCTCGCCGGAAAACACACAACAATCCGGCGGAGGAATGACCACCACCACCCATCACCAGCTCGAGCTATTCCCACTGCACCCAGAAAACTTAACCCAAGAAAAAGACAGTACTACCCACGACGACAACAACCTCGAACACTTCTTCGCCGCTGCGGACGGCGGCTCCACAACCCTCACCGCCCTCCTCGGCGGCTCCTCCGCCACCACTTCTTCAGAAGAAAACAACTCGATGTCACTAACGTACGCCTACGGGGGACAGGACAGCGAGGAGGTGGAGTTGGTACGGACGGCGCTGAGGAGCAAAGAGAGGGACGCGAGTGAAGAGAAGTGGGTCTGCTACTCGGAGGTCGTTGAGAGGAAGAATGAGCTGGAAGTTACTAGCTGCGCCGCGGACCTACAGTATAAAAATCAGACGGTGGCTGGGTTGTCGTTGAAGCTTGATTATCAAGAGATCATGAATGCTTGGTCTGATAAGGGTCCACTTTACATCCAAACCGCTGATGAGTCCCCACAAACCGTTCCTGATCTGTCTGATGATCCCAACGTGAGCCCCTTTCTTACTCTATTGATTATGTTCATTATATCATGCATTTACGTTTATCTATAATGATTTGAATTATTATTTGCATAGATATAAATAATAATGATAAAAAATTGATTGGTTTTTATTATGATTATAATGAACAGAGTCAAACTCGCTTTTGTGAACCTTATTATGGGACCCATATAATCCAACGGCTAAGTTTACATGATTGAATTTTCGTTGATATATATACACACACTGTATGTATAATGTACGACTATTATGGTAGTGAGTGTTAGTGCAGGGTGGGGTACGTTGAATGTGAACAGTGAATGGTATTGATTGCTTGGCGGAATCTGGACCCACGGTGTAGTTGCACTTTTTGCTTTTTCCATATAGAGGGCCCCAATCACGCATTATGCACCTAACCATTTACTAAGTTGTATTTTGGGTGTAGGTTTTGCAGATTTATTAGTCATTTCAATTTCTTGGATTTTTCCAAATCGGTTTTTCATATATAATAATTCACTGCTAATAAATAGCGTATCATTCTAATTAATTATTTATATTCAACTTCTTCTGAGATTTATTATTATTATTATTATTATCAGTTTCATGACAAGAAACACCCACCTATTCAAACACATTCTATTCGCTTTAACCCTTCCTTCTCTTTAAAGATGAAAAAGTTATATCATTGGTCCATTGAGTGAAAAGTCAATTTCGTTAAATCTTTTCAATTATCACTCATTAAATATTAGTATAAGCTCCTAAAGCTATAGTCGTGAAACTTTAAATTTTTATTTTTTTATTTTTTTAAAGCAAGAATGTTATATGAGAAATTAAAGGTGAGAAGGTTCAAAATCGGGCTCTCATGGACAATGGGGAGCAACGATAAAAACATTTTCCTTAAAAAAGGGTTATTATTTGAGAAATTTGGGACATTAATTGAAGTAACTGAAAGGCATTAATGGAACTGATTAAGGATGGGTAGTTATGAAATGAGACCATTTCAAGATTTAGATATATTATCAATTTTGTTGAATGGTTGCTATATTTTGTACTGCACTTGATCCAAAAATTGATTGGTTAGTACAAACACACACATGCATATTTGTCCCATGCCCACAATGGCCTTAACTCAATAATGGATATTTATTTGTACCAGGCATGTTAGGTTTTAAGTTTTCATCTTCACCAACACACCACTTGAATTATTTGATCATTGTACCAAAAACTAATTGTACTCCTAAAAATAGGATTCTTAAGTTTGAGAATGAAGATTTGAGTTTTTACAATGGTCACTTAGCGTAAATAATGTAAATATTAAGTTTATATTAGGGTTAGTTGCGATCAATTGACTAAAATGACCAATAGGTGTTAGCCCAGATTTGCTCGAACTTTCGAGGGATTTTTTTTTAATTTTTTGGACTAAAGTGCTATTACCTAAGAATCGGAATTAGTAAATTGACTTCGTAGAAATTTTTTGTTCTATAGGGGATGATGGATGGTAGGGGAAGCAATGGAGGGTTGTGGAGAGTCCCAGAGAAGTGCTGCAGCAATGGCCTTGTCAAACCGAAAATGGAGGAAGTACAAGGTGGAGAAGAGTGGAAGATGGGGCAGAGAGAGGCTAGTGTGTTGAGATACAAGGAGAAGAGGCAGAACAGGCTTTTCTCTAAGCGTATCCGCTACGAAGTTCGAAAGCTCAACGCCGATAAACGGCCCCGTGTCATGGTAACTCATCTGATTAATTTCTAGTCGTCGTCCGTCATCATCATTCTTGTCTTAATCTCATATGAATGGAGACTGTCATTAATTTTCAAAATCCCCATTAATGATTGATTTCTGAAAACGAGTATCCAATTTCATTTTTCGTTCGAGACAATTTTGATTCTTATTGTGTTTTCTTCTCCAATTCTCTTTCTTCTATTTTGCAGGGGAGATTTGTTAAGAGCAGTTGAGGAGAAAGTACATATTTTTCGAACACTTGTGATGATACCAGACAATAAGGGCTTATATGGTCCTCAAAAGTAGTGTTCTTATTTCTCTTTTGTAAAGACACTGAAGTGGTATAGCATGCTAAAATAGCTAGACTCCGGAATGATAGGAGTTTCGTGCACTAAACTAATCTATTATAAGTTCCAAATCTAAAGGGAATTTGTATTTTTGTGCACTTGTTCAACTTGCAATGTGATTAAGAATTAATCAGCTTAATTTGTAAACATATATGGCAAATTTTGCAATAAAAGGTTTAAGTTTTAGCAAGTTCATAAACAAGGGGATCAACAGGTCAGTGACCTAGCGGTGTCCCTTCCTTATTTTTCAAAGGGTGGTCAGAATTCAAGCTTTAATCGAGGCATATGTGTGACCTAGAGGTATCACTTCCTTATTTTTCAAAGGGAGATCAGGATTCTAGCTTTAATCGAGGCATATATATGTGAATATCAACTATGAAAAAAAAAAAAGTTAATAAACAAAGGGTAATGTAGTTTAAATCATGGATTAATTAAGTAGATAACTGGTGAAGATAACATTAGTTACGAAAGAAAGAAAATCACCTATCATTTTTGGTTGAAAGGAAATAAAACTATTCTAATTACGAAAGAAGAGAAAATCACCTATTGTTTTTGGTTGAAAGGAAATAAAACTATTCTAATGAATTTACTAATATATTATTTTTTTTTATAGATTTTGTCTCTTATTAAAAATAACAAATTAAGCATTAAAAAGTTTCATTAAAAATGTTAGCGCTTCATTCTTGAAAGAATAACAAAACTCAGTTCTTTCTTTTTCTTTTAAAATTTTATACCAAACACACAAATCATGTCCCAACAATTTCTTCTTCTTTTTTTTTCTTTTCTACTTTGCATTTCTTTCCAACCAAACTGGACCTGTAAACGGTACGACGCAATTACAAAAGGCATGTAGCCCAAGACCAAATAAAACCCCAGCTGAAACAAGGCGACTGGCCCAATCCCAATACAGAGCTCCAGTTCTGTTAACTATTGGAATTCAAAATTCCAACCGTTGATCAACAACGATTATAAAAAATAAAAAATAAATACAGAGGATGAAGGATACTTTTCGTGATATCATTGGAATTTTTTTTTTTTTTTTTTTTTTCGACAAACAAGTAAACATTACATAGAAACACAAAACAGATCAGTCTTAACCAACTTAATTACAGAAGCAGGCACATGCTCTAACACCATATCATGATGGTTAAGATTCCTTGAAATATCTGCAATGAACAAACAGAATTTCCTTCCAGACAAATAAATAGATAAGGAAATAATATCAATAATAACAACAACATCAAAGTTATTGGATACAAGAATCCTATTTTTACATCCTGCTCTATTTATAGTCACGACTCAGTCAAATTATATTTTATGATGTATTATTTTACTTATTACTTTACCCATTTTAACTTTGGCTGTAAGCATTCTATATACATTATTATATATATACATATATTGAAAGGTAAGCATACTATATTATTCTTCCTTATAATCATATAAAGTGTCTACTAACTTGATTCGTTTACGTGTGAATTTTCCTATATTCCAATTCCCACCACTGGTTGTCTGTGAAAGTGTTTATATGTAATCATTAGAAACTTGTTATTGCTCTGCGATGCTTAGGTTTCTTACTTTCCTTTTGGTTTGACTTCATATATATATATATATGTGTGTGTGTGTGTGTGTGTGTGTGTGTGTGTTTAGTATTGAACTTTTGTATATATATATATATATAATATGTGTGTGTGTTTAGTATTGAACGTTTGTATATATATATATATATATATATAATATGTGTGTGTGTTTAGTATTGAACGTTTGATGGAGGAAAGATCCTTTGCAAGATCTTTTGGCGATGACATAATCAACTTGCACGAATTCATGACAGAAAGGTAGAAAATTTCATATTTATGTTTATGTTTTTGTATGTATATAATAGATAGATATATATATATATATACACACACGTCACACTTGTGTGTGACAGATATACTTATGGTTCATTATGAGAAATGATCAATATTCGAATTGGTTTGGTTGGATGGATGAAGTTGCATGTCTCTATTAGTGTCTTCTCTTTTTGCCAAAGGTTCATTTGCAGAAAAGGGAGACTGTTAATTGGTGCTTTTCCCAAAGCGCGTGTTTGGATAGATAATTGACACATGACTACTACTTTTTGAGGCTCTGTTTGGTAGAAAATCAACGTCTGTTTGGTTTGTTTCAAATCGACTCCATTTAGGTCACATGGTAGATTTCCTGCATTTTAATGCCACGCAAGGAAAAAGGCCTCAACATTTATTTTTAACCACACAACTCTTAATAATCACAATTTATTCATACAATCAAATTAGAACCATCACAATTCACTCGAATAATTAAAGTCGAGAATCTCGTGAAGGGTTCCGTGCTTTGGTCATGTGCTACGTATAGATTGTTAGTATAGATTGTTAGTACACTACGCTATATCATAATAGAATATATATATAAAAAGTTATTGTATAAGCGAATGTCGTGACACAGAAAGCGATATGACCAAAGAGCAAACCCGAAACAATCCGAAATTTCATATATATTGTCGTTAATTCCATGTTATTTTCTTCTATTGGAGTGTTTCTAAACAATTATATAAAGTTCTGCACCTTTCTGCTTCTATTCACTGTAAAAATAATGTGGGAAGAATATATGGCTTTGAGAACATTTCCATACATTCAAGTTTTAAGGCTGAGTGTTTGACCGTTAAGAGTGAATCTTGAACTTGAAGAATCACCACTAAGATTCTCCAATATAGTGTAATTAAAATATAAGAGCAAATTTTAAGAATAATAATAAAAATAAAAATAAAAATAAAAAAATTATGTTGAAGCTTTTAGAAAATTGGGAGGATGGAATTTTTTGTTTCGATTGTTAATAATAATTTTAAATGTTAGGTTTGACATCAAGTTACTCACCATTTATCCTTAAAAGTTGAAATGTTAGAGACCATACAACTCAATTATTTGTATATATTTTTTTGATATAAATAAGATGTTTCAATAAATATTTCTCATTCGTATAATCAATTATTTGATTTTTTAAAAATATAAATAGGATGTTTCAACAAATATTTATCATTCATATACCCTATGTTGCAATTTTGATACTTGTAGTTCAACCAATTACTCCAAAAGTTTAAATTGTTACACCCTCTCTTAAACATGTACTACTTCAAAGATTTAGTTAGGAGGGTTCTCTTTTTCATAATTAAAGACCAACATTGACATAAAATTTACATAAATAGATTGCTAAGACTTTTAAGCTGTTTGGACCATCTCAAGATGGCCGAGATGACACAAATTTTGGGCCACTTTTGTCGTGAATTCCTATTCTTAATTGGATTCGACCTAATAATCAATACTCACTACCAACATTAATCAACATTATTAATCACTTGTGTTAGTAACATATACCCATTTTTGGCCATATTCCATCACTTAGGGTGGTAGTTTTACATTTTTCAGTATTGAACTTTGTAGCCTAGTTAGTGTACAAATATATATTTTCGGAAGTAATACTTCAAAAAAAAAAAAAACTACTTTTAGTCTCTTATGCCTACTATATTTTTATTTTATAACATAAAAACTTAGTACAACCAATAAGGAAATATAGATTGTTGCAGTGAGATGGAGAATTCTAAAACATGAAAGAATCTGTAAAAATTAGTAGATTAGTAAGATTTAAGAATATAGAATTTGGAATATATAGATATTTAGGTAGATAATTTTAGAAATTAAATATTAACCATAGAGAATATGTATATATGCGTGCTAATTTAACAAAAAGTTACAAGTTAGAACCACTTCGAAATGAATTTAAAACCACTTAATAGTTTTAACCATTAATATGATATAGTTTACTGAATTCAACTTCCTTCTTTTGGACTGAAGATATAAATGCAACTTGTACCAATCACATGATAGATACAAAACAGAAATTGGATATAAATGCATACAAAACAGAAATTGGATATAAATGCAACCTGATTAGTACGCGCATGCGTGCATTACATGGCATATACAAAAGAAAAGTTTGCTTAATATGCATTACATGATATATACAAAAGAGAAATCTTACCTTAATTGATGTTCTATATTGATGTTATCTCACAAAAATTTGTTGACAAAAGAAGAGAGAGCACAAGACTGCTCATACACAAGCCTTCTTGGGCATGTTCACTTGTGCTCTCTTTCTTCTGTCAACAATTTTCAAACGTTGTTATCGCGGCCATAAAACCAGTCCTGAGATCCCCAGCCTTCCCTGCCTCCTGCAAACAAGAATTGAGAAAACTAATCCATCATAATTCAAATATTGTATGGAAAAAAGAAGATCCTTTAAACAAATTGGAAAAGGAACATTAGAATTACATACATCACAAAAATGGAACAAGACGAATTTTCCAAGAATTGTGAGACCAAAAAGAAAAGTACACAGACTCTCTAGCTTGTTCTGTGCTTGAAAAGATCATATATATTTTGTCAAGGGTAGAGAAGCTTCATGAGTCATTTAGCCAAGTTGTTGAAAGACAAGGCAAGTGTGTGAGGAGGGTCCACTTTACTTGGTGAGATGAGAGAGTCATCAAGACAAGTGGCTTCTTATTTGAAAGTATCTTTTTTATTGATCAACATCACATTGATTATGTAATTACAAGTCCACCACCTGTGAAGATTTTATATCCTAAAGAGATGACTTGCAAAGGTACGTGTGTGTCGATTATTCATTTGTTGTTGCCAAACAAAAAAAATATCATTATTACTGATACTGTGACAACTGATTGGTAAGATGTAATAAAAAGTGGACAAGTTTTAGCCGCCAAATAAACCTACTGTGGTTAGGTTTTTACATCATAGATTTACACCAACGGTTTGATCCAAATCTGTTAGATTGAGATACAGATTCAAATATTATTTACTGATGTACTTACACGTTTCGTATTTTAATATTAATAATATATCACAAATATATAAACTAATTCTTATGAAGTTGATTTTCTTACTTGAGAATTATAATAAAAAATAATCCCTTTAAAAGGATTATTGAATTTGTCAACCACAATCCAAGTTCGGAACGAATTTTAGAGTTTTTCTTTTCTTTTTCAATATAAATTTAAGAATGAATATGTAATACGTTGAAAATTCAGGTCGTTGACATTTATTATCCAACTATCAAGTTTGATTTACTCATATCTACTTTTTACTTACACTTCAACGAAAAAAGAATATTGTAATATCTTCAACGGAGATCAAATTTTTGTAATGATTTGATGGATCTTTTTCATAAAATGGGTAAATAAATATTATTAATAAATAAAGCAAAACTAGAAAAAAATTTAACGATTAAGGGAAAGCACAATCAATGGGACCAGACACATAACCTGTGACTATCAAAGGCTAATTTGTAATGATTTGATGGATGTTTTTCATGGTAAATAAATATTATTAATAAATAAAGCAAAACTAGAAAAATATTCAGCGATTAATTACTGGAAAGCACAATCAGTGGGACCAGGCACATAACCTGTGACTATCAAAGGTTAATTGCTCGTAGAAAAGTACACACATAATTGGGTCCCATTTGTTGCGTTTCAGAGTAAGATGCGTATGATCTGGTTTTGATTGGTTAGGGTCAATTCTTAGTTACAAGGCTTTGCTGTCATGGTGGATAAACATAAACCCAACTAAGCTTGGTCCAAGTTGTGGAGTTGTCAACCCTTTCGGCCCAAACCAAGTTATGGTAATGGAAGTTGGAGGTGTCTTTAGCTCAGTAGGGTTTTTAGGAGTGATTGATTGCAGGTATTCTAGGGAATTGTGAGTGAAAACACCCTCACTTATCAATAACAAAAAAGGACAAAAAAGAAACCGGTAATTTTATTCGGTGCTATCAACTAATTATATTTTGTGAAGTATTATTTTTTTAATTATATATTGTCATATAAGTAAAAATATATATATATTTTTCCTCAGTGAGTTATATAATTACGTGTCAACATTTAATTACTAGTTAGTGATCACCCAAGCACCTTCACCAAGGCTTAAACTCTAAACCTCTTATTTGAGAGAAATTATTAGATGGTCTTGGTCTATTTGACTGTTGGTTTAATGACAACTTTTTGATCATGAAATTTTGTAATATATACATTTTTATGGGATCATTTTATTAATTAAAGAGTCTGTATTTAACTGGTCCACCAAATGTAAATGATTCATAACCATCTAATAATTTCTCCTTCTTGGTGTTTAGCTTTAGCCCCAAACAATTAAATTTGCTTTCAATATATAAATATACTTATTTCAGTTAGATTTATTGCATTGAAAAACAGAATAAATTGGTGAAAAAAATAATAATAATAAAAAATGTATTGAAAATCGGAATAATGTGTTTGAAAAATTACAGTGGAGGCCCAACTCATTTAGGCTTGGGGAGACTATTTTGGCAAAGCAAGGCATAGGGAAGTATGTCCTAAACCTTGTAGCCTGCTAGCCCATTTATACATACAGCCCTACATAAATTGTATATATATATATATAGAGAGACAGGCGTGCTTGCATATCACTTATTAATCACCTTCACAAATCCATCACTCAAATTCATTAAACTGTAGTGCCTGTTTGATGATGATGATGTTAATATTCTTACCCTAAAACCATGTCCATCATTCCCTGTCCTTTTAGTGATAAGAAAGATTGGTGGGACATTATTGAATACGGCTCCGAAAATTGAGGAAGAATTGTTAACTATTCCTGCCAGACAATTGAGTAATGCTAGTATAAGTGATTTTTTACTAGATTAGATTAGGACAGTTTTTTTAATTCGTAATAAAATAAAACAAATTTTTATTAAAAATGGTTTAGAGTACGTACGAGTTACGTATCTGACTTTATGTTATACAATGACATAAATTTTTAATAAATCTCTTAATTTAATAATACTTGAAACAGAGAGCTCGTAACTTTTATTATGAAAGTCTCTCTCTACCGCATTACTTGAAATAACGCCTCATATAACTACTCATCCAAGTCATAATCATGGCTTATCAAGAAATTTTGTTTGCAATTTCTTTTTTTAAGCCTCATCATAGTGTTTATGCTCTGTTTGGTTGGTTAGTGCTTTAGTAGTCAGCCAGAGCCAGGAGGGCAAGAACATAAAGGCCCAAACAAACATTGGGTCACATTTTGGGTTCTTACTCTTAATATAAGACATTTACTGATTTTCTCAATCCAGGCCTCATGGGCCGCGTTTTTGGGTTCTAAATGTTTATTATGCAACCCATAAATCCACTAACGTTTATGAATTGAATCATTTCTTTGATTGGCGACAATATTTAGGGTCATGACTTTTGTTTCGTATAAAATGGAATCCAAAGAACATTGTGGACGGAGTCTTATTTAATTTTAATGAGTTTTGAGCTTTTCTTGATCAAGGTATTCCTTCCACGATTTCTTCTTTGGCTTCTTCCTTTCACTTGGTTCCTCAAACAACGGGTCGAATTAAGCATAATATTGATGTAGTCTTTAGATCTATTTCAAAAGAAGCTGGCGGTAGTCTTACTTTGAGAAATTTTAATGGTAATCCAATTAGAATTACATCTGTTTTTACTTCTCATGTGGCCAGTTCAGAGGTCACTAGGGTTCTCTGCGAAAGAATGAAGATGTTAATCTAATGGGGTTATGACAAGATAGATATAGAAGGTGATTGCTTATCCATCTTTACTTCCTATCCTCAAGATCCCCTCTCCTTTCTTTTAGTGGAAGATAATTGGCAATGGCCTCTCACTCTGATGATATAAGTTGGGATGGTGCTGAAGACCATTGAACTGGATCATGGTGCTTAGTGGTTTGGTTTTGGTTTTGGTTTTGTTTTTGTTTTCGTTTTTTTTTTGTGTTTCTTGTTTGTTGGACAGGACAAAAAAAAAATATAGAAAACAAAAATTTTAATATAAATGTTTGATCATAAGAACAGTGAGTTTCTCTCATGTACTCTTGTTTATATGATCTTTTTATCCTAAGCAAAATAAGAATTGAAATCAACTCTATAACTTAACAAGATTGACATGAAATTGTACCATTTCAACTATGGATTTACATCTGTCAAAAATTGTAATCGAGTGATAAAATTTTCATCTTTTATCTTTTAAATTAAAATGTCTAATTTTCAAGTTTCTTTTGTTGAGAAGTGAGTATCTGATTTATTTAAAAGGGGAAAAAAAATAAACTTACCTTATGCTTGAAAGCACAAAATTAATACATTTCTAATAAAATGAATATATTGACGGTCCATCCAGCTCACTCTTGGCATAAACAATGTTCGCTATTGACTTTGTGATTTCTTCTTTCGTGCACTTTCACTTTTCTTACAACTATATTTTAGTATGCGCATGCACGCGCGTCTATATAATCTATTACCCAAAAAAAAAAAAAAAAATTAGTCATATATATATATATATAATTGTGATTCATGAAAAGTTTGTAAAAAAAAACAAAAACCATCATACTTTATATTACAGGGAATCAACATTTTTATAAACATAGTTAACCATTCAACATGACTCAGACATGCATCAGCTTATACATGCAATGTGTCCGAAACCAACAACAAAATAGTTAATAAAACAAACCTACTAATTAATAATCTAGCCAACTGATCCAAGATTCATCAGTGCACCATATTAAAACCTTTTCTTCAAATTTTTTTTTTTTAAATCAAAATAGTTAGTAGCTAGTAAACAATATATATATATATATATATATATATATGTTTACTTATATAGTGAGATGGATCAGACACTAATGGTGCGACAAGGAGTAGCCAACCCAAGCAGCAGCTTCCTCTCCTTGATCGCTGGATCTTCCAACAACAGCACCTTCTCCTTGTCTCTAACCCCAACCATGTGCAGGTGTTCACCATCTTCTCTCTCCTTCCCTTTGTACAACAACCTTTGCTCTCTTGCCTCCAAACTTGTCACCATTGACAATATCATCTTCAATTCTCCTGCATTTTTTTTAACCCAAAGTTAAATATAAACTAATTAATTAATAATAATATAAAAATATAGAAAATTGATACAACATTCAAAAGTAGACATTATTTACGTGAGTGAGTGTGAGATGAGGTAATTATGACATCAGCCATTATGATGATGTCATAACAATGTCATTTATGCTCTAAAAAATATTATTATTATTCATATATATATATATATATATATATATAAAACTCATAACTATATATAAATATGTATTATACATATATCTGATCCTCCTCTGACTTTACAATGACAAACATTTCGAGCAATAGACTATTTTTTTTATTTTATTTTATTTTATATAATGATATTTTTCTATGAAATTATGGACTATATAATTAATACCCATGTTTGAATATGTGCTATATATATTGTGATATATGTCAATAAAAGTATGGACAATATATATTAGTAGTGACAAACCAAAAAGGGGTATGATAGGGATTAATTATTTACCGAATGTTGAAGTTGGTTGGATGGTTATATCATGCCATTGTGAGACAGTTGAGACTCTCACTGTAATCATCCCTTCTCCGACACTTTGATCTCCATTCTCTCTCTTCTGAACAAGCATGCCACCAGGGCGTAATTCCCATTTGATTTCGCCACCGCCGCCTCCGCACCCTTTTCCGGCGGCTCCACCACCACCCCCACTACTAAGCTTAGAATTGCTTCTGGAAAACCTCTTTGATCTCAACTTGATCATTTTTGTTTCTCTCTCTATTTTCTGTTTCTCTCTCTATATATTGTCAAAACTCACAAGGAGGTGGGGGAAGAGTTGGTGTTAGGCAGGACTACTTATATAGTAGTTGGAGCAAAGATTAGGACAAAAAATGTGACAAATTAAAATAAAAGCCTCCTGAGGTTTTAAAAATAGTAAAAAAAGTGCATATGATGGCGAAAGGCTTATGAAATTATGCCACATGGGGCTCAATATGGGTGGAGTTTCTTGTGCTGATTTCAAGGGGGCTGAAGCACATGGGGTGGGGGACTTGTTAAATTATTTTTTTGATATAAAATGTTGTTTTCTTGTGTATATGTATATGTATATTATATATGTATATATTTATTCATAAAGAGAGATGCTTAACACGCTTTGCTTGATTAGCGGCCAGGATGGTCGGTTGGTCTTTTTTATTATTATTTAAATTAAAAAAGAAAAAAAGAGAGAGATTGGTGATGGTCAATTTTTTGATTTATGAGAGTCACTTTTCATGGAGTCTACAGTATGTAGTTGTCTAGGGCTAGGTTTCAACTTTCAAGACATCAATATGATCGAGGTTCTGTTTGGAAAAAGCAATAGTATATGTAGTATATGGCTAGCAACAAAAGCCAAATGACTAGGCTTGCTTGTAGCTAGCTCTCTTTCTTCATTTTTCCCTTGTTCACTTTTTTCTTTTTGCTTGGAAGATGTGATATTTTGTTTGCTTCATAGACCATATATATATATATTTATATATATTACTCCAAAACTCACTTTTGTTGCCGGAATTATTGGTGATTCATCGCTATTTCACATTTAACGAGGCTTGTTTGCTATCATTGAATTTTAATCAAAAGGTATCATTGAATTTTATTTTTTTTTAAAAATTACAATTTATCTTTACAGTATCAAATATTACAGTGTAAAAATATACAAAAATATTAAATTAGTGTCTTAATTTTTTATCACTAATCACGAAATAATTTTTATATTGTGCAAAATAAAATAATTTTTATTTAGGTTTTAAATACTGAATGACTGAGACCAATAATTTCGAGACCATGTAACTTAATAATTTTTTTGACCTCACAACCCCTAATGGATGGTGGAGTTTACTAAAAAGTTGCGAGTGTTACAACAATTAATTGCCCCGAGTATAAATACTCAAATTTTCCATTGCCGATAAATTCTTAATGTCTATTCTTTTTTTATAATGCTTAAACTATTAATTCTTTACTTTGAAATATAAAAAAAATTATCACTAAATTAAAAATAATATTGAATAATCTTTATCTACTCTATAATGGTAGTACATCATTTAATTGTGGGTGGCATTGTTAGGAGCCTTCGTAGCAATTTCTCCTACTCCCATTGAGAGACAACATAATTAGTTCTGCATTATGAATGGAATGACAAAATAATATAGTCTGGTTAGAGGTGGGATCACATTATGGATTGCCAAACAGAACCTAGATCTCAAATATTGTGTGGAATGGGAATATATGTTTTCATTATAAAATGGGCACCAAGTTTTTGTCTTCATTCGTTTACTTGTGATTCGGTTGGTTTTGGGTTTAGGTAGGTAGGTCTTAAAATGACTTTTCGATTAATTTATACTCCTAACTAGTAAAATCGGTGGTTGGCTAATCCACAAGGTATCAACCCATGTGGGGGAGAGCTGGAAATCTCTCTCTCTCACACAATTACAAACACACACGCGCACGCCGGTACGCACGCATGTGTGCGCGCACGTAACTAAACCAACAATTCGGCAAGTAAGGATCCGTTTAACATGCTATTTGTTTTAAGCGTTTTGTTTTTTGTTAAAACAGAAATAGTTTTTTTTGTTGTAAGAGTGTTTTGGAAAAAATTTGGAAACACGTTTGAGAATGATATTTTGCTGTGAAAATATCGGAAACAGAAACGTACACAGTTATGGTTTTAGGCCATTAACAATTGTCAAAAAAATTAAAAAAAAAAAGTAAAAATTAATATTTTAATTTTGAGTCACTATTCACAAAATGTTTTAGTACTTTGTAAAATAAAATAAGATCGCACTAAATATATTTTTGTTGTCAAAATCCTAACAGTCCAAAAACAAAATAACATAATAGAGTCTAAATAACAACTTGTCCATAAGTGTATGACCCAGGGCTAAAAATAAAAAACTAGGTAGCAACAACTTTAATACGGAGTAAATAATTAACATTTGGGTTGAAGTGGTAAGCTAATTGTTGCAAGTTGATAAAAAATTAATTTCTCTTAATTGGTATTTGTACAAGAATAGGCAGAGAGAAGATTCTAAGGGGCTCCACTAAAAATGGTCATGGCTTTAGGAAACCCCGGAACCCCGCGGACCTATACCATTAGTGTGTGTGGGTGGGGACCCTTTGTGGGCTAACCCCACATGGTCTCAACAGAAGATGACAAAGGGTGTTGGACCGTAATGCTTTCTCATAAATGTTGTTCCAATTTTGAGTTATTATAATTCAAGCATGGCTTCAAAAGCATCATTCTTTGATATACTCGTACGTGTGTGTATATATATATTCACAATATATATGTACTTTGTGAATTAGTTCCTAAATTTAATTATTAGGTAAAATAGTTTTTGTTGTGTTATTAATGAGTAATATTAGTCTAAGTTGTGTAATCTCTTTTAAAATTTAGAAGATTGAGTGTTTGAGTTTTGTTAGGGTTGAAATGGTCTTTGTTGTGTCAATAATGGGTAATATTAGTCTAAATTGTATAACCTATTTTAAAATTTGGAAGGTTGAGTGTTTGAGTTTTGTTAGAATCGAAATTGTGATTATGTGTAATTTAAGTTAGAGGCACTTATTGAGTTGTGTAGAAACTCCTGTTTGAACATTTTACTGAGTCGTGTAGAATCTCGTGTTCCACTCACTTGATGGTAAAATAAATAAAAAAAAATTAACTTTCTATTAAAAAAAATTTTAAAAAGAAAAAATATATATTATCTTTTTCTTAGTGCTGTTATACGTTACATATACTTTTTTGTAGCGAGATGTAATGTGTTAAAACGCAAAAAAATAATAATAATAAAAAATAAAAATAAAAATTTGTGAATTAGTTTCTAATGTTAATTAGTCTTTGTTGTGTTATTAATGAATAATATTAGTCTAAATTGTATAATGTCTTTTAGAATTCGGAAGATTGAGTGTTTAAGTTTTGTTAAGGTTGAAATTGTAATTACTAGTAGTTTAACTGGACTTTTCTCGGGATAGGCTGAGAAGTCCCAATTGATAGAGGCACTTATTGAGTCGTATAGAAGTTCATGTTCGAACACTTCACTTCACCTAGTCGTGAAGAATGTCGCGTTCCACTCACTTCATCCTCTCCTCCCACTCTTCTAGTTAAAATAGAAAATAATTAAAAAAAAAAAATGAACTTTTCTTAAAAAAAAAAAAAAAAAAAAAAAAAAAAAAAAATCTCATGATGTAGAGTTTGAAGTACTTGTGAATCTTTTATAATTTTCAAGATACTTTTTCTCATCTCCATCATATAGCATGTGCTACAGTGCTGTTTACAATTTTTTTTTTAAAAACCTATAGCCTGTGATTTTGTACAGTATATATATATAGATGGGATGTTAAAAATCCTAGTGAAAGGTACCATGTGTGTATGTGACTGTGTGCGTGTGTGTATATATATATATATGTAAAAGTTACAGTTGATGGGAACACGTGAAGATATGATAATTACAGCAAAGGCAAGGGAAGGCATGCTCTCGATGGAAGAAAGGCGATTAATGCAGAAAGAAGCACAAGATTGATCCTTTCACGCCTCCCGGAAGATTTGCCTCTTGTTTGAATGCAATCAATAGATACAGTGACAGATACGATGAAGAATAATACAAGCCATTTAATTATATCTCTATTTTATTATTGTGTGATAGAGACAACGGACCAATGTTTATTATGCATCTTTTAAATCATTTTCAAGATATATTGGAATAATTAATATTGATATTTTAATTGAAAAAAAAAAATAACTGTGTTCCCAAAATATTAAACAGAACTTTGTTACCTAAGAAAATTAAATTTCTATATGGTTCAACTTTTTGTTTTTTTTTTAAGTATTATATTATAGAAAGAAATGTAAGTGATATATGGTCCGACACACAATGCAGTGGAGCAGTGAGGACCACTCTCCCACTCCATTGCATTGTAAGAACGGAAAGTGTTGTCTTTAAAGTGTCGAGAATGAATCATTTTTTATATAAAAAAAAAGGTTGATAATTTTTTATAATTGAAAACATAAAAGTTTGGAGCTCTCCATAGAATCCTTCTTTCCAAAGCAAGGCTAGGTTGTTTCAATAATGAAGAAGCTTTTGATTTATTCCAAAAATCATCATGATCATCTTGCTATAATTCGATATACGGTCAATAAGTTGGTCCAATAATTTACATACAAAGCTAGCTATAAAAGACTGAATTTTAAAGAGCACGCTTTTTATAATCTCTGAAAATTTCTTTTAAAGCTTTCAAAATTATTAAAATTTATTCTAAGATAATCGAACTAAAGATGCCCTAAGCTTTTATAAATACTGTACTGGCCAAGGAAGAAAAAACATGGTCATATGTAACGTGGAAGTGTGGGACCTTAAATTGCAAATTTTGGCCGGTGCCATCTCAAGTTTGACATGGACTTAATATGTGTGTGTGTCTGTGTGTGTGGGGGGCCCAAAACTTTCAAGACAAGACCCAGACCAAAGAGTTGGTTCATATCTTGAACAAATTTGGGCCAGAGCCATCTCAAGTTTGACATGGACTTAATATGTATATATGTGTGTGTGTGTGTGTTTGTGTGGCCCAAAACTTTCAGGACAAGACTCAGAATAATGAGTTGGTTCATATAGAGCAAGAAAAATGTTAAATGTTCACCCACTACAGAATTAGAGTTGGGCTATTCATTGACCAAACGTGCCTCACTTTCCTCGAACTAGGCCCATATATCCAATTTGGGCCCGTACAAATGGCCAGTTTAGTATGCACCATAACATACCTTCCCTGTAAAGTTTTTTTTTTTTTTTTTTTATTCCTTGGCAACATCAAAAACATATGGCTCACTGATCTTTGCAGTTGAATGGTTGTGAGAAGACCAGAACCAGAGGTACATAGCGGAGAGAACCCATACCGTCCTAATACAGAACTTAATTTTGAAGAAGGAAAGCCCTAAAGTTCACCACACTCACTGCTCAGGTATGAACCCATCTTCTCCGGTTGATGATAACTGTTGAAGTTAAGTTGTTTCTTTTGTTTTCACCATTTTTGTGCTTCACAAAGGGTCATAAAAATTCAGTCTTGAAATAGAGATGACATGCCTTAAAGTTCAATTTTCAGTTCTTGGGTTCTCATTTTCTTAGGATAAAATGCAAACTCTCAGCATTTGGCCTTCAAAAAGTAACTTTTGGGTAGTACCCCAATTGGAGTTGGAAGTGGATGGTTCATCTTGTAATTTAAGTCCTAGGAGGAGGAGAAGGAAAAGATGTGATCTTGGTGATTCCGTTTGTTACAGTAGAAAGTCTAGTCCCTTTTTGGTTTGGGCTTGTCGTAGGAGCCCTAAATTTGATTTGGATTATGGGGTTTTCTCTAAATTCTCTAAACCTAGGGTTTATCTGCTTTCGGAGCTAAAGAAGGGTTCTTTAAGCGCATCTTTTGCCTTGGCATGGGCACTAGAGGGACAAGCTGTCGGAAGTGATGTCAGTGAAAAAGATTCGAATTCATTAGATGGATTTTCAGGGGAAGTTGAGAGTGAGGATGTTGATTTGAATGATGTAAAAAGCAGAGAGTTAAATGACAATAATGATAAAAAAGAAGAAGATAGCAAAACTGAGGAAGTAGGGGGAGAGAAGGGTAGAAGGGTTGATGTCATTGCGCTGGCTCGGAGCCTATGGTTTGCCAAAACAGCTGATGATGTAGAAGAGGTTCTCAAGGACAGAAGTGAATTGCCCCTTCAAGTTTGCTCATCTATGATCAGAGGTTTTGGCAAAGACAAGAAACTACATTCTGCCATGGCTCTTGTTGAGTGGCTAAAACGAAAGAAGAGAGATACTAACGGTTTAATTGGCCCTAATCTTTACATATATAATAGTCTTTTGGGTGCAGTGAAGCAATCTGAAAAATTTGATGAAGCGGAGAAAATCATTGAGGATATGATCATTGAAGGAGTGCTCCCTAATGTTGTAACTTACAACTCTCTAATGGGAATCTACCTAGAACAAGGGCGAGAAGTTGAGGCTCTTGATCTTTTCGAAGAGATACAAAAGAACGGTTTAACACCATCTCCCGCGTCATATTCTACAACATTGTTGGCCTATCGAAGACTAGAAGATGGATTTGGTGCTTTGAATTTCTATATCGAGTTAAAACAGAAGTATCAAAAAGGTGATATAGGAAAAGACGCAGATGAAGATTGGCCAAATGAGATGGCTAAGCTTGAGAACTTCACAGTTCGAATTTGCTACCAAGTGATCCGGCGTTGGCTTGTGAAGGATGAGAACTTGAGCACCAATGTGTTGAAACTTCTTACGGAGATGGACAAGGCTGGACTGAAAACTGGCCGGTCTGAACATGAGCGCCTTGTGTGGGCTTGCACTCGTGAGGAACATTACACAGTGGTAAGAGAATTATATAGTAGGATGAGAGAAAGGGATTCTGGAATAAGCTTATCTGTCTGCAATCATGTGATTTGGTTGATGGGGAAGGCTAAGAAGTGGTGGGCAGCTCTGGAGGTTTATGAGGATTTGTTGGACAAAGGGCCTAAACCAAATAACATGTCATATGAACTGATAGTTTCTCATTTCAACATTCTACTCACTGCGGCTAAGAAAAGAGGAATTTGGAGATGGGGTGTTAGGTTGCTCAACAAGATGGAAGAAAAAGGCCTAAAACCAGGAAGTAGGGAATGGAATGCAGTTCTTGTAGCCTGTTCCAAGGCTTCAGAAACTTCTGCTGCTGTGCAGATATTTAGAAGAATGGTGGAACAAGGTGAAAAGCCCACCATTATCTCCTATGGGGCACTGCTTAGTGCTCTTGAAAAAGGGAAACTCTATGATGACGCCCTTCAGGTTTGGGAGCATATGATTAGAATGGGAGTTGAGCCAAACTTGTATGCCTACACAATTCTGGCTTCAATTTATGCTGCACAGGGAAAATTTAATATGGTAGATTCCATTATCCGGGATATGGTTTCATCTGGGGTTGAACCAACTGTTGTCACGTTCAATGCAATTATCAGTGGATGTGCACGGAACAATATGGGAACTGCAGCATATGAATGGTTTCACCAAATGAAAGCTCACGGCATCTTACCCAATGAAATTACTTATGAGATGCTGACTGGGGCTCTTGCAAAGGATGGTAAGCCAAGAATTGCCTATGAGTTGTACTTGAGAGCTTACAACGAGGGCATGAACCTCTCTTCAAAGGCTTATGATGCAGTCACACAATCCTCACAGGATTATGGTGCTACCATTGATCTAAGCGCTCTAGGCCCTCGACCACCGGAGAAAAAGAAAGTAGTACGAATTAGAAAGAACTTGTCTGAGTTCTGTAATTTAGCTGATGTTCCAAGAAGAAGTAAACCATTTGACAAAAATGAACTTTACACTCAGCAAACAGAACGAAAACTGTAAGTAATTTGGTACATTTGCAATCTTTATGATACTGTATTTGTCCATGCATTAACTTGTTTAAATGCTTTAGTTTGAATGAGTCAGCTTCAAAGCATCCAAACTAAAGTTTAAGACCTTCCATAATCATACTTGGCTAAAGTTTGTTGCTTGCTTCAGTTTCTGAGAACACCGTGCCAAGGAAGCTAAAATCTTGACCTCAGCAGTTTTCTGACTTCTGAAGTTGTAATATTCTGATTCTTTTATCAGTTTGTTACCTCAACATTATTCTGATTTCTGAACTCGTAATATTCTGTTTGCAACCAACCAGTGCATACAAGAACTTGTTTTCATGAGATCTTAACGTACATTGTTTGGCAATTTAATCCCAATTTAGACTTTCGGAGTAAGTGGCTTTTTAACATAGAGCTCTGATTCTTGGAGATCTTGGATTATAGTCTTTGCATCTGCATTTATTCCCACCTCTTTTCTTTGCGCTTTATGCTTTTTTTTAATAAACTTGTTCAGTTGCACTCTATTGTGTTTGTTTCTCTTCCTCATGTCACATCACTTGGTTCACTCCATCTTTTGAAGGCTCATTCATTAGGAACAAGTGGTTGTCTAAACAGTTTTTTTCAAATGCAAACAGATAACTTAGCAATGTTTAACTAGGGCAAAAAATAAAATAAAAAATAAAACTTAGCAATGTTTTTCTTAAACGAGCACTCCTGTCTACTGATTATATTATAGGATTAAAAATGGAGTTTAAAAATGAATAGATTTAAGGGTTTTCTTGTTTCTCTTTTGAACAAAGCCATTGGCATTCTCTAGGTTCACTTACTGTGCTCTCTCTCTTCTTTAGATGTTTGCTTAGATTTTATGAAAATGCTCTGGTTTTACTTTGTATTATGGAGTTATTCCTGCTTGATCTTGTAATAGTTGCTCATCATTAATATCATCTTGCTTGCTTACCCAAAAAAAAAAAAAATATAGTAATAATAATAATAATAATAATAATAAATTGGAGTTCCAATACCACCTAATGCCCACTAGAACTGACCTTAGGTAAGTGTGTTTGGAGGCTGATGAATAAATTTTCAACTTTGGGCATCAAAGTAGAACACCTCAAGTGGTAGGCAATTGCTCAAAGTATACATGAGGAATTGACTTGTGTGGTGTGAAAAAACACTTTCATGCACAAGCTAGTTCAAGAATATAATAATGCCACCAAATCACCAGTGCAATGGCTCAATGGAAAAGTGATTCATATACCTGATAGCACCATATTATCAAAACACACGCACACACATGCCTGATATCCCTTCCCAAGCGAATTGTTTGACTTCTGGATAATGGATTCCCAATATATTGGCTGCTGCTGGGATCAGTAAATGGGGTGTGACTCAGACCACTTTTAGACAAACTCAGACAACCTTGCAAGAACAATGCAACTCGATAGACTTTTATCCCCCTTAGATATGTTTTAAGTGATAAACACCGTTCCTATCTAAAACATATCTAGGGATCACTTAGTGATTTAGACCTAATTTATCGGCTTAAATATTATTTTTCTTTGCAAAAAAAAAAAAATATTCGGTGGCAGAACAAGTACTTCTCAAATTATTTATTTGTCATTTTAGACCGCACAAGGTTTGGAAGGGTAGGTGACAGTTCAGAATTTTGCATCAAGTCAGGAGCAAAAATGTCATTTTCTTTTCTTACACAGCAAACAAAAAGGGTGTGAGAAGTATTTACGATGATATATCTTCCAAGATATACCTCCTTTATAGGCTTTCCCACCATTGGTTTACAACCAATCTTAATAGAAATGAGTTGTTTCTTGAAATTATACTTTTATCTTTTTCGCTTGTTGGCATTAAGAATATTCCTAATCATTCATGGACCACCCTTATCTAATTTTTTATTCAAATTTACAAAAATGGTGATCATGTCTTTCTCCTAAATATCTGAGTAAAAAACAAACTTAAAGCTGTTGGTCTTATGTTAATAATGAAATTAGAGACCCCGATTTAGTACTCCCACGCATAACTTTAGTAGTATTATCTCATTTAAAAGGATTTCTTTTTTCTGTCCAAAACTATTAACCATACAGACCTAATTGTTAAGTAACTTGTTGGCTAATCATTTGCTATGTCTATATATATACTCCTGGAATATGTTAAATCGTCTCTGATTTGTGACATCACTTGTACAAAAAGCAAACACGCTACGCTAGATTATCTTAAATCCTAGATTAGATATTGTAAAAAGCAGATAAGCAACCCCTAACCTGGGAAGAGTGAAGACAAAGATAGGATGGAAATATCAACTCACTCAGCTCCACAGTGCTGTCTCATTCATCTTTCCATTTCAAAATAAATATCAGATTTTTATATAGGATTTCCATAGCATGAGTTTGGTGGTGTTTAATAACTCAATTCAGTACTTAATGCCAAACGAATTAAATATTTATCTAATTAAATGTATTTAATTATACAATATAAATATTACTAAAACGATAAGTGTCACTTAAAATAAAATTTTAAGTGATATAGACATCACTAATGTTAAAAAAATTTAAAAATAAAAATATTTTATTTTTTAATTTTATCAAACTAAACACCTGCCTCTTGTAAATGGTTATACAACAATTTTGTGCTATATTTAATCCACACAATTTTATTTCGGACACTTAATCGACACATTTTATTTAATTGATTGTTACATCTCTGAACACATTTTATATAATTTACACACTTAGCCTACTTGGTATGCATTTTGTTTTTGTAAGGTAATGTAGTAGTGAATAATGAAAAAAAAATATTTGGTAAAAATTATTTTGTTTTGTACAGTATCAAAAAGTTTCGTGAATAGTGGCAAAAAAATTCAAATACCAAATTAATATTTTTATATATTTTCACGCTGTAGCGTTTGATATTGTAGGGATAAAAAATAATTTTAAAAACTCTTAAATAATATTTTTAAGCTAATCATTATATTTTTCAAACTTGTATCACTTTTTTCTCAAATATATTTTCATTTTTAAAAAAAAAAAAAAAAATCTTACAACAAATAGAAATTATTAAACATATTTTTAATTACTATTCAAAATATTATATAACAAAACACTTATTTTGTTTTGTGTTAAAACAGAATGCCATAAACATAACATATAATCAAACAAATACATGACAATCTTAAAAATAACATTACAAAACATACAATTTTAAGAATAAAAACACAACTAAAATGATAAGATGAAATAATAATATCAAATATTATACAAGATATACTTTCGAATAACATAATCTTCTAATTTATGTAATTTTAGGATAAGATTTTAAATTGATTATTAATCGTGTTTGTATTCTATTAGTTTAGAATTTAACCTTTCTCGGTATTGTGTTGGTTTTTATGCTTCTCGGTATTACTCCATCGCTGCACAGATTCCGTCCAAACACTGTCGCCGCATATTGTGCCCATGATCGTCGACGTCGCATAAGATTGTCGCCACTACAAATCGTCGCCGTTGGGTCTGTCGAAAGCTCACCGGAACAGTTTTTCATGGCTCCCCACTCAACTACGGCACACAGAACTGGATCCCGTCAGAACAAGAACACACTGGAACTGAAGATTGTTGATACTCTCAGTTGAATTACCACTAACAAGTGAAAGTTGTAGCCTCCGTTTGTTTCACCATGGACAACACTCAGTCTTTTATGTAGTTCATTGGATCGACTTGATCGCTAAAACTATTCTGAACTCTCACCCGACTGAAACCCACAACTCTAAAGCTTCTCGGACCGAAACGCGAAGAACTCCTAACGGAGACTTGACAACCTCCGAACTGAACCAAGGTTGAAGCTCGTCTGAACGAACAGGGTCAGTACGCTCCACCAACACTGAACTAAACCGGGCAGAACTTTAACCAAATTAAACTTATGGGTCTTGCCGGTATTGTTTATTATTATTATTATTGTATGGTAAAAACAAAATAATTTCCAAGATTTAATTCATAATATATATATATATATATAATGACACAAAACAATAATAGCATTATGGAAGGGAGGGATGAAGACAGAGTGAAGATGGCATAATGTGAGGGGTAAAATGGAAAGGCAAAAAGAATAAAATTGGATTTTCATGTCTACTTTTTATAAAAAGGTGGTTAGGGAAATTTATTTTTTTATTTTTTAAATTTTATAGATTAAAATACACATTTTCGTAAGAACTAATTTTTCACAAACTTTTACCTTTTATTTTTTATTTTTTATTTTTTTTTGCACTTAACCCGTATTAATTACACGACACATATGCGTCAGTGTAAGTGGCTCAAGTATTCTTTGCTTCTAAAAACCTCTGTGGCGAACTGCTCTATCCTCCATCTCGATTCAATCTATCCTCCAACTCGATTCAATCCGAGACCCGTCAACGGTTTCTCAATCGTCTGTAAATTTTCCAAAACCCCAGAAGAAGATTTCAAATTCTTGTGCTTCGCAACATTTGAATACACACAAAATTGAGTTCATTCAAATTTTTTTTGCTTTTTCAACATTTGAATAGACGCAAAATTTTCTTTTCGGAAAACGTAAAAGACCCACCACTGTTCCTCTGTTTTATCGCTTTTTGGTACCAGAAGAGGGTTTGAGATGGAAAAAGTTCATAATTTTTTTCGGGTTTTCGGATTGGATTGCGGAGATTTGATGTGGTTCTGAGATGGGTTTCAAGTGATTTTGATAGAGCTGGGTTTGTTTGGTGGATGAGGACTGAGGAGACCTATGGAGCCTCCAAGTGGATTCTTGGCTTCTCTGTGGAACTTTATTTGCTTCTTGCCTTACTTCATTGGTCTCCTTATTTTAGGTTGCATAAAAGGTCAGTGACAATTTTTTTTCCTTTTTTGGGTTGTTTTTTCTTCTTCCTTCTTGTTCTGGGTAATTGTAACCTTCTTTTACTCAATTTGGGTATATATATATTTTATGCTATACATATTTATACATTTTTTAGTTTTGAATAAATTTGGCCTTTCAATTTACAAGTTTTTAATCAATTTTATCAAATAATTTAACTATGCTTCAAACATGGATGGTCTTTGTACGTGTTTGGTATTGTCACCTTTTTTTTTTTCCACTCAATTTGGGTATGTCTTGCTATATGATTTCTTAAAAATATGTCTTGCTATATGATTTATTTATGCATCACCGTATGAGGAAAGATGATTTAGATTTCTTTGCTGAGTGATGATTGTAACTCGAGGTTAATGTAATAACCTTGCAGGCATCATTTTCTGCCCATTGATATGCCTTATCATCACAATTGGAAACTCCGCAATTATTATAGGTCTTTGGCCAGCTCACTGTTTCTGGACATATTATCAGATTCTGGGGTTAGTTCTTTTATATCTCATTTCTCATATCCTTGCTTAGCCTCATTGTATCATGTATCATGTATCCTGTACTGATTCCTTTTGCATTTTTTAATGGCAGAGCTAAACAAATAGGGCCAGTTTTGAAGCTTGTACTCTGTTTAGGCATTTCTTTTCTCTTGATTTTGTGGCCAATTTTTGGTATTGTTGGGAGTATTATTGGCGGTGCAGCATATGGCCTTCTTGCTCCAGTGTTTGCCACTTTTAAAGCTGTTGGTGAAGGGAGGACTAATGATTTTTTCCACTGTATTTATGTATGTTTAAACATCTTAAATTTCAACATTATTTATTATCTCTCTCTCTCTCATTTTGTCTTATGTTACCTTTTCTTCTTATTTTCTTAGAAGAATTTCTTTTTCACTACTTTCAGGATGGAACTTGGGACACTGTGAAATGGAGCTTTACTTTTGTCAGGGATTTTATGGATGTGTGTTATCATTCCTACTTCTCAGTTATGGATGATCTACAGTGTCCAGGGCCTCCAGAGGGAAAATATTATGAGATAAGGTTGGTTGTCAGGTTTGATTCTGGATTGCCTCTTGTTTTAGCACATACTAATTTTTCTTTTGGCCAATGAAACTGTGAATAGAAACCTTCATTCTCATATAAAACTCTTGTATGATGAACACATAGGCATCATTAATCATAATTCTCCTACAGGCCTGTATGCGGAACATTTATGCCATCATACTTTTCCTTTCGACTCTTCTCTACCAGTCTCGAAACCTTGACCTAGAGCCTGGGAATTCAGACCCAAGACCACTAGTACAAAGGTAGACAGTTTTATGCTATCATACTTTAAAGGCTTAACTTCAGGAAGTGCCCTTTTGACTTACCAATTAGGTTGAAATTCATTGTCACCACGTGCTGGCTCATTACTTATTTTCAGAAGGCTGAGCAAATAGCCCAGTGGTTTATTAACTAACCAGTTCTAAAATAATAAATTCTATAATTACCATGACACTGACAAAAAAGTGAATATTTTTGTTAGTTGCCCAATTATTCATAATGAGAGAGACATTGGAGATGCCGTTACCCGTTAATCATAGAATCAAGGCAGGATGGGTTAAATGAAGGAGTGCATCTAGTATATTGTGTGATACGCATATCCCCTTACGATTGAAAAGGGAACTCTATCTAACAGCTACTAGACCAGCCATACTTTATGGTACCAAATGTTGGGTAGCTAGGAAACAACATTTGCATAACGTGAGTGTGGTAGAAAAGCGAATGTTGAGATGGATGTGCAGTAAGACTAGAATTGTCAAAATTATAAATGATCAAATTCGGGAGATTGTTGGAGTAGCACCAATTGAGATAAAACGGGAGAAAATTGGTTAAGATGGTTTGGACATGTGCAAAGAAGACCTTTAAGTGCGCTGGTTACAAAAAGTGTCATAGTCCACGTTGAGGGTAATACTAGGGGAAGAGGAAGACCAAAGGTAACATGGGTATAATTAGTAAAGAAAGATATGTTGGTATGTGGTTTGATTGAGACTATGACCTTCAATAGAGTGAACGCTTACAATGTTTTTTGGATATGAAATAATACATAAAACCTCTACAATTACTTAAAAAAATGGTTTACATTGGTGACTGTTCCTCATAGTGATGTAGTTCATTTGTTTGACAGAACCTTTTCACAAATTGTCTTGCAGAGTACTTTATCTTCCTGGGGCTCTTATAGCTGGTGTGCTTGGTTTCATGGTTGACATGCTGGTCATTTCACTTGTTGCCCTTTACAAGAGCCCTTATATGCTGTTCAAGGGGTGGCACCGTTTGTTTCATGATTGCATAGGTCGGGAAGGCCCTTTCTTGGAGACAATATGTTTACCATTTGCAGGTCTTGCTATCTTACTCTGGCCACTGGCTGTTGTTGGGGCTGTATTAGGCTCCATGGTATCAAGCGTCTTCTTAGGTGCTTATGCAGCAGTGGTTGTTTATCAGGTTAAACTGCCCCTTCTCTCATAGTTATTAATGGACTACCATATGTAAACGAGTGTACAGAAATATCTTAACCTTTTAACTTATTTTTTGGTCATGGCTCCATTTTATGTTATGATTTCATGATAATTGATAAATTTGTGCTTTTAATGGACTACCATCTGTAAACGAGTGTACAGAAATATCTTAACCTTTTAACTTATTTTTTGGTCATGGCTCCATTTGTTGTTATGATTTCATGATCAATGATAAATTTGTGTGTGGTCAATTCTCTTGAACAAATTTTCATAATTTATTTTATTGTGTGGTTTACAAACACCCAAAGGAATAGTTTATATATAAATGAAATTTCTTTCAACGCCAAATGCTGAGAACTATGTTAACTTTCATGTTACATGAATTGCAAGCTATTCTTAAAATTGTTGTTTTTGGCTTTGGGTTACAGGAATCCTCGTTATGGCTGGGACTTTGCTATATCATTGCTTCATTATCCATTTATGATGAGTACAGCAATGATATTCTTGACATGCCAGATTGGACCTGCTTTCCTAGGTTGTAATCAATATTCAATTTTCTGATAGTTGTTTCTTCTTTTATAAACTAAAATTGTTACGTAACATACATCCAGGCCTCGATACCGAAAGAAGGCTGAGCTATCACGAGGCAACTCTTGTGCAGCGTCTTTCTCAAGTTTGGACTCTTTCCGAAATTCACCTTCTCGAACAGCTTCACTCAAGACTCCTTTGGTCGAGTTGAAGCCACTTGAGGTATTTGTTAGCTCTCCATTTGCATGTTAGAGGAATGAATCTTTTAGTAGTGAAATTCTGCATCTAGTGCATGCTAATGATGGACAAATCAGTGTAGTTAATTAATTATTATTATTATATAATCTTACATTTATTGTGGATTTTAGGGCTAATTTCAACTTAATTCACAACTGCTGTAGTTAATTGATAGCTTATTTAAGGAGTGTCAACACCAAGGGGAAATTATGGCTTCTGAAGGACTAATAACACTTAAAGACATTGAAGATGCTAAATCTAGTAAAGATAGCGGCAGGGTGATAAGTGTAGGTTTACCGGCTTATTGTCTCCTCCAAATGCTTTTACGATCTGCAAATGCCAACTCTGCTGGTTTATTGTTAAGTAAGTAAAAGAAATGCGTTTCCTGTTTAGCGTTGTTTCTTTTCCTCGTCCCAACAGATTAGGCAGCTTTTAAAGATTTGACCATAAAAACTTGTTTTCATCGATGCAGGTGGCAATGTCACTGAGATAACTAGTACAAACAGACCCGAAGATACATTCTTTGACTGGTTTCTTAATCCACTCCTGATCATCAAAGACCAGATTAAAGCTGAAAACCTCTCTGAGACTGAAGAGAAGTACCTAGGAAAATTAGTGCTGTTGAGTGGTGTTCCTGAGAGGCTGAAAAAACCAAATATTGGCTCACCACCTGAATCTGAGCGCAAACGAGCCGAACTTGATGCACTAGCTCGAAGGTATTGATTCAAAATTTTCAGTGTTTGAATTTTGTTAAATAGTATATGGTAATTCTATTTTTTAAGTTGTATTTCCTTGTTACTGTATTTTTTTTCTGTGTGTTCCATGAAGGCTTCAAGGGATCACCAAATCTATCTCGAGGTATCCAACGTTTAGGCGTCGTTTTGATAATAGCATCAGAACCATATGATAACGAAAGGCTTATGAAATTATGCCACATGGGGCTCAATATGGGTGGAGTTTCTTGTGCTGATTTCAAGGGGGGCTAAAGCACATGGGGGTGGGGACTTGTTACATTATTTTTTTTCATATAAAGTGTTGCTTTCTTGTGTATATATACTATATCTATATATGTATATATTATTTCATAAAGAGAGATGCATAAACACGCTTTGCTTGATTAGCGGGACAAATACCATCACACCAATATTGTTCAGTTGGTCTTATTTTTTTATTATTTAAATTGAAAAATAAAAAAAGAGAGAAAATGATGATGATCATCAATTTTTGGGTTAAGTGCATTATACTCTCTTCAACTATCACCCAATTACAAGATACCTCTCTGAAGTAAAAAATACTTCCTAAACTATAAAAGTGTTGCAATTCACCCCCACAGTGCCAAACAACCGTTAACTAAAAAATGAAATTACTTATTTGCCCATTAAAAATTACTCTTCTCTCCTATGCAAGCTCTTGACAGACCGCGATCATCCCTCACTCCACTCTCTCTCTCTCTCTGTTCTCATCGTTTGGGTAATCACTTTCTTCTGTGTTATGGCCTTCATAAATTGAATCACATAGCTTTGAATTAATTTGAGGCAAATTAATTACTCATGATATTTTATAGCTTATTGTTCATATCAATTGGACCCAGTAATAGGGATGCAGCAAGAGAGAGCATGTTCCTCTGTATGATCTTACGATAAAAACCTAAATAAATAGAGAAGGCTGAATAGCCAAAAGCCCAAAGTCCCCTAACCCATCCAAGCGAAGCGCAGATGAACAACGCCGAGGGAAATCGCAGGCTCAGTTCTTGGTAACATTAATGGCCGGAGTTTTGTTGATTTCTCAATTTGCCGATATCATTTTCGATCTGTTATTACCGGTATCAGACGACTATGAGGTGATCGAAGTAGATAAGCCATGAACACTGTGAGGATGGCAGATCTGCGATGAAAGAGTCGACAGCGGGGAGTGGTCACAGCTCCATATACTGATGGGTCTTCAGGCTTTCTGAAAGGAGTCTACTGGCAAGGATTCTGGTCGGCGGTGAGCAAAGATTATGACAAGGGCTGGTGGTGCATGATCTGTGACGATTGATGAATGGTGCAACAAGAAGCTAGCAGCAGCAGTTCCGTCGAGCAATATGTGAAACGGCGAGGAAGCGGCGAGCTGAACCAATGAGGACTCGTCTCAAGAGTGAGCCGGCGCGAAGTGGGTTTGTACGGCAGTGAAGAGGACGGCGAGCACTGTCTGAACGACCCTTGCCGGCGAGGACAAACAGTGGGCATGTAGGACTTACTGGCGGGCATGGAACAACGGTGTGCTCGATGATGACAGAAAACTGAAACGGCGGCGAGTCGGCCACCGCAAAAGACGGCGTGATGGGCTTTTTCGATTTCTTCCTTGAACTGGGTTTTTTTGGAAGAGGATGGTGATCCAACGTCGCGAAGGAAGATGATGACCAAGGTAAAACCCATGAACGCCGCGAGGATTATGTTGCTATGGGCAACGGAGGTTCTGGCGAAGGGACTGAGAGAGGAGGCGTTGGGGTGGTTTGGAAGAATGTAGAGAGAGATGAAGTAAGAAGGAGGTAGGGTTATTATTGTCTTTTTAAATTTTTGTTTTGCAACTAATGAAATAGTTTAGAAAGTTAAGTATCGTTTCAATAGGTTTTTCAATTTTCAAGGCATCAATATGAGGTTCTGTTTGGAAAAGGCAATAGTATATAGCTAGCAACAAAAGCCAAATGTCTAGGCTAGCTTATAGCTAGCTCTCTTTCTGCCTTTTTCCTTGTTCACTTTTTTCTTTTTGCTTGGAAGATGTGATATTTTGTTTCATAGACTCTCTCTCTCTCTCTCTATTTATATTACTCCAAAACTCACTTTTGTTGCCGGAATTATTGGTCAGGATTCATCACTATGTCACATTTAACTGAGGCATATTTGGTAACCATTTTGTTAAAACTAATGTTTTGAATAACAATCAAAAGCATGTTTGTTATCATCGAATTTTTCAAGAAAAAAATAAAAATTTACTATTCATCAATACATTACAGTATCAAAGTTACTGTGCAAAAATATACAAAAACATCAAATTAGTGTTTCAAATTTTGGTCACTATTCGACATTATGTAAAATAAAATAATTTTTATTAAACGTGTTTTTGTTTCTACTGAATAAAACGCGTACTAAATGGGTCTTAAATATGTTAGAAATGTGTAAGTTTTATTTAGATTTTTATTTAGATTTCAAATACTGAGTGACTGAGATCAATAATTCCGAAACCATGTAACCTAATAATTTTTTTTGACCTCTCAGCCCCAAATGGAAGGTGGAGTCCACTAAAAAGCTGCGAGTGTTACAACGATTAATTGTTCCAACGTGTATAAATTACTCAAATTTTCCTTTGGCGATAAATTTTTAATGTCTATTATGTTTTTACAATACTTGAACTATTAATTATTTATTTTGAAATATAAAAAAATATCACTAAATTTTTAATAATCTTTATCTACTCTATAATGGTACTGGAGTACATTATTTAATTGTGGGTGGCATTGTTAGGAGCCTTCGCAGCAGTTTCTCCTATTCCCGTTGAGAGACGTCATAATTAGTTTTGCCATCTGAATGGAATGACAAAATAATATAGTCTGGTTAGAGGTGGGATCACATTATGGATTGCCAAACAGAACCTAGATCTCAAATATTGTGTGGAATGGGAATATATGTTTTCATTATAAAATGGTCACCAAATTTTTGTCTTCATTCGTTTACTTGTGATTTGGTTGGTTTTAGGTTTAGGTGGGTAGGTCTTAAAATGACTTTTCCATTAATTTATACTCCTAACTAGTAATATCGGACTTCGTTGGCCGAACTTTTAATCCTCGTGACACGAAGCTAATTCTTCAAATCGCTCTGAACTCTACCGGTGGTGGGGATTGCAAAGTGTGGTGTGCTTCTTCAAATGGCCGGTTCTCGGTCAAAAGCGCCTATCACGTGGCTTTGTCTCTCCTTCTTCTGCATCCTTGTTCCCCTTCAGCTGTGGACAGTAGTTTTGACGCGGATTCCACCCATATGTGGAGTTTGATTGGTTCGGTCCGGCCTCGTATCCCGGTTAATAAAGCTCTTTCCATTCGTATGTCGTTCGCTTCTTCGTTTTGTCCAGTTTGTGATTCCACGGTAGAGACGGTGGACCACCTTCTATGTACTTGCCCTTTTGCAATTCTTATTTGGAAGTTGAGTCTTTTCCGGTTGAATTTTGGTGATCAGCAACCCACTGTAGAGGTAGATGTCCATGTGTGATGGGTGGCTGGAACAGGACAATTTGCTGGAGTGTATTGGTCTGGCTGCTTATATTTGCTGGTCCATTTGGAAATGTCGAAATGACTGGGTCTTTAACCATCGGCACTGAGATCCTTTTGAAGCTTCCCAAAGAGCACTCTTTGCCTTTCAGGAGTTTATGGAGGTATCTTGTCAACATTCTTTGCTGTCTTTACCTTCCGCCCCTGTTCCTCCTTCCCCACAGGTTTGGTCTGTTCCGGCGGTGGGCTGCCTTAAACTTAATTTTGATGCTAGTTTTGCCCACTTTAGTGGTTTGTGCGGGGGTGGTATGGTTCTTTGGAATCATCTGGGTCTCCCCATTAAGGTTGCCTCTGTGTTCTTGCAAAATGTCCCAAGCTCTCTCATGGCTGAGAGTTTAGTCTTGTGCGTGGCTGTGGGTCTTCGAAAAAATTGGGGCTACCGTGATGTGGTTATTGAAGGTGACTGTCATTCTGTAATGAAGTTGTCTGCCTCTGTGGATGCTCTAAATGTTATTTTCTCAGATGTTTCTTCTCTTTTAGAGGATTGCTTGGGTTCTTCCCTGCTTGGGCTCCTCGTGGTTGTAATAATGTTGCTCATTTAGTGAGTAAGCATGCTTTGAACGCCCATTTGGGCAATTTGGAGTGGAGCATTTGGCCCATGGTTGTTTCATGCTCTGCTCTCTGATTGTGTATTTTCTCCTTCTTGAATGTTTATTTTCGTCTTGTAAAAAAAAAAAAAAAAACCCATGCGGTAGGGTGGTGGAAATCTCTCTCCCTCACTCTCACACACACACACGCATGCACAGTTACAAACACACGCGCACACAACTAAACCAGCAAGTAACGACCCGTTTGACTTGTGTTTTGTTTCAGGCGTTTTGTTTTTTTGGTTAATATAGAAATATGGTTTTTGTTGTAAGAGTGTTTTAGAAAAAAAATCGAAAGCACGTTTTGGAACGATATTTTATTGTGAAAATGTCGAAAACCGAAACATACACATTTATAATTTTAGGCTATGAATAGTTGTCAAAATAAGAAAAAATATTTTTTTGATGTTTTAATTTTGGGCCACTATTTACGAAATGTTTTAGTACTGAATAAAATAAAATCAAATATGTTTTTATTGTCAAAATCGACATTAAAAAAAAAAAAAAAAAAAAAAAAAAAGCAAAACCATGGCCTAAATGATAACTTGTCCACAAGTGTATGACCCACTGCTTAAAATAAAAAACTAGGTAGCAACAACTTTTATATATAATTAACATTCGTGTTGAAGCTGTAAGCTAATTCTTTCAAGTTGATAAAAAATTAAATCTCTTAATTTGGTGTTTGTAAACGAATAGGCAGAGAGAAGATTCTAAAGGACTCCACTGAAAATGGTCATGGCCTTAGGAAACCCCAGAACCCTGTGGACCTATACCATTAGTGTGTGTGGGAGGGGCCCTTTGTGGGCTAACCCCACATAGTCTCAACACAAGATGACAAAGGGTGTTGGACTGTAAGGGCCTGTTTGTTATGTATTTTACTTTGGTGTTTTTGTTGCAGGGCTTCATTTCAGGCCCAAAAACATGTTTGGTAACCCTTGTTATGTTTTAAACAGTACAAAAATTATTGTTTTAAACAGTGCACAATTTTGGCCCAAAACTGAAACACCATTTCGGTGTTTTTTGTTGTTTCTGAACTGTAGCCCAATAAAAAGAATTGTAGCGCTTGAAGTAAGTTGGGTCTTAAACTGTAGCGGAGGAAGTAACTTTAAAACGTCGTCTGCAACATTTTGGCCCGATCTTTTCTCTCTCCTCTGAAACCTACAGAAGCGATTTGGGAGACGATTTGGGAGGCGAAAGGGAATATGAAACCCTAGAGAAGACGATTTAGGAGGCGACGAAAGGGAATCGCAAGCACGAAGTCGTTAACAAGCACAAAATCGAAAGCACGAACTGTGGTGAGTACTCTCTCTTCTATTTCTCTCCTCTTTAAAGACTGTGTCTTCGATTTAGTTGTGAAACAAGAAAACTGTGCTTCTCATGTACTCCATAAGAACTATATTCAGTGATTTTCCCTAGCTCGTCTCATCTTTAGAAGTTGGCCTAAAGCCCTAAATTTTTCACTACCTTCCTAGATCCAGATCTTCAGTGATTTTCTTTTTTTCTTTTTATTTAATTTTTTTTTTTTTTTTTTGCATTCTGTTTAGATCTTCCTTTGATTAGATGTAAGAATATGTCTATATATATATATATATATATATATATATATATATATATATATATATATTAATGTATATATACACGCACTTACAAAATTCAACTCTCAGTGCTATATACAAGGTGGACTACTAACAAGTAATAAAGATCCAGAAACAGTTCTATTGAGGACCCCAAAACTGATAAATTAATAAATTAGAACAAAATACAATATAAGAGTAGGCCACTTACAGAGGAAAATGTTGAAGAAATATGTAAAGCTTTGGAAAATGATTCTTGGTTTTGTAAGTTTAAAGAAAATGAAAGGACCAGAGAGCTTATTTCATCTAATTAATAAAGGGAATGACAATATACAATTTTACATATACATTAATCTGCAGTGTCATAAAAACTGAACTTAAATTGCAATAAAGCTTTAAAAATGGTTGTAACGAATACAGGAATTGCAGTGGTCGGTTCTCAATTTCTCATAAAGAAAAGGTAATGTGAATATTGAACACTGTAATATTTTTGCAATTCACATTTTATTATTTTGAACTTTTTCATTTTTTCTTCTAATGGTCATAACAATTTATGGATGCAAATTAGAAAATATTCTTATGATTTTCTTTAGTCATTCCAACAATTTTAGAGAGAAAAAAAATTCCAACAATTTTAGGTACATCAATATCATATCTCTCTATACTACTATATAAAATGTCAATAGAAATTTTATTTCTTATGTTTTAACTAATATAATATATATTAATTATTGGTAAAATATATATATGTATATGTATATGTATATACTAATTAGTTTGTAACATTTTTTAATATAATTAAAGGCTGTTAGTCTATCTAAATTCCTAGTCATTATAAACTTATTTAATGAATAATGAATGAAAGATTTTTCACTCTACAAAGTGTATCCATCTGCATACATATTTTTTATGCACATTAATTTGTATGATAATTAATCAAATATTTCATTTTTAATGAGAATAAATCACGTAATTACTTTATATGAATTCTCTTCTCTAATTTTTTTGCACACATATATAGATGAGTTATGCATATTTATAGTGTAATTAACTATTATTTTTTCATTTTCTTATAATTTTTTAAAGATGGTCTTAATTTATCTAATTAAGAGAATTTTTAAATTCACTGTAGTATTTTATGAGACCAGTAATTGATTTTCTTCTTCCTTTTTCTCTGTTTTTTGTTCGTGTTGGAAGCTGAAATATGTTGAATATATAATTTTCTCTAAGCAAATGGTAATATGTTATTTGGTGTGTTATAATTGAATTTCATTTCATTTATAACACATTTACATTTCATTTACAGAATTTTGCTATGTTTCTGTCTTTAAAGTTTCCTATAATATTTTTGGGGTTTTAGTTTATCTAATTAGAGAACTTTTTGAATCACTTTTTTTTTTGTTTTTTTCTTCCTTTTCCTCTTTTAATCATTCTAGTTTTGATGGAAATCTTATTGGTGAATTTGTTTGTTTGTGTTTGGATAACTAGTTTGCTGCATAAAGATTGAATGCTGCATAAATATTGATTTGTGCTAATTTTGCTCTATAATTTCTATTTGTGTGGATTTTTTTTTTTTTTTTATTGGGCCAAAATACTTTCACAACTTCTCTCTAATTGTGGTTTTCGCCAAAATACTTTCACAACTTCTCTCTAATTGTGGTTTTCTTTGTTTCCAATATACAATATATAGATGCAGCATATTAATACCTTATTAAACTTTCTGCCTAATTTCTCATTTGTCATAAAGTAATTTTATGTGGGTAATGAAATCAGCCTAAATCACAAATATGTGACACTCTGTGGGTGCCAATTGTGTGAGGAAAAATTCATTTACCAATTTGGGAAGAGAGAATTCATGACTTTGATATCATTTTTTATGATTGATTGCAAGTTGGTCTTGTTATAGTCACCTTTTGTCTTTTGTTCAAATTCAAGATCAATGGTTAACTTTAAAGATGACAATGGTTAGCTTTGTAATTGTTTAAGAACTTAAGTATTTATCGGAAATTTGAATACTAGATGATATATGCGTGTTTATTGAATTGCATGTAGAATATTGAATAATTTTTTTTGTAATTTCAGGTTCGGAATCGTTTGGGTTTGAAGAGGTTGATTTTGTAAAATTTTCAAAGGTAAATACTCAAAACTTGATGTGTACATAACATATAGTAAGTATAGTATATATAGTATAATAAATTATTATATTATTTTCTTTAATTTTATCTTCTATGTTGTACACTTGTACACCCTTACTATGAAAAATAGAAATTAGTTTAAAAAAAACACTTATAAGAATAGCGATTTATATTCATCTAATCTTTTTGTTCAGGACTATGTGTTATTTTAACTAAGTGGGTTATCTAGATAAGGTTTGGCTTGGAGAACTGTTTCGATTCCTATTGTTATGCACCTGTTATTTTTTAATTTTTAAGCATAAATTACACTCATTTTCATCTTTTTATTTCTGTGTAGTTAGATTGTATCTATTGCTTAGTGTCATGATATAATCCTGTTTAGTTTACCACTAATGTTTTGTGTTGTTCTTGATTACCCATAGTTGAAATTGTGTTTCTTTATTTTTTATATTTTGATTCAGTATTCTTTATTAAATGTGTGAACTTCTCCAGCACTTATGCTATATTAACTATATGTACGTTTCCTAGGAACTAAGTAAAACCTAAAATCATAAGTTCTTTCTAGCAAATGTATAAAAGGGGAATAAACATATTCTAATAGTATAAACATTCATGAATCAGTAGTTGTGATAGAGTAACTTTAATACCATCAATAGTTTTTCCTAGTTTAATATTATTATTTTTTTGTTATTAATTATAGTGTTGTTATTAATATGTTAGATAAATATGAATGTTGAGAATATGGAACAATGCGGTGATTCTCTCACAGTTGAAGAAGTGGTTGAAGTTACGAACGATGGAAAATTGTTATGGGATGAGTCACTCATTGAAAAATTCGTGAATATTATAGTGGAAGAAGTTAAGGCTAATAATCGTAGTGGCACAACATTTAGTAAAAGTGGTTGGAGTAATTTAGTCAAACAAATGAATGTTCAAACGGGGAGAAAATTTGGTTTAACCCAACTTCGGAATAAGTTTAATGGTTTGAGGAAAATTTATACTGAGTTTAAGAAATTATTATCGGAGACTGGCGTGGGATATAACCATGAGACGTGTATGGTTATAGTTGAGGAAGAGAGATAGGACAGGTTGTGCAAGGTTAGTAATTTAATTATTAGTCATAAATAAATAATAAAATCTTGTATATTATTGGTTATGTGGTTAATATTGTAACAAAATTTGTAGGTTATTACGAATGCAAATAAGAATAAAAAGTATGGATGTAAGCATTTTGACAAGATGTCGACTATATTTGGGGACACATATGCAAGAGGGATGCATGCCCACCCATCCACTACAGCACCACTCACAATCATTTTGCCCACTCCCAATGATGACGATGATGAGGAAGAGGGTTGTGAGGTCAGTCCCCCACCTTTACGTAAAGGTAAGAAAGCCAAAAGAGATGCTTTATCTCCTGGTATAGCTGCACTATTGTCAAACATGAATGAGAATTCTGAGAGGAGAGCTGAGAGAATGGAAGCTGCAATAGAGAAAGCAGCAAAAGTATCTTCTACTTCTACTCGTGTATCTTCATGTGAGAAAGGAGATGATGAAGTTCTCTCTCCCTCAAAAAAGGATAGAGATTATGAAATGTTTGACGCCTCCATGCTCCTTTTACAAAAAATACCTGGAATTGAGATGGCCCAATTCGCTAAGGTATCGAAGTTATTACATGATTCTGAGAAGTGGCAGAAATTTTTTCTTTCGGCACCTGAGGATGTAAGAATTGGTTGGGCACTGAATGTTTGAGTTTTTTTTTATGGATGATTGTGTTTTGTGTCATTGTTTAACTTATTACTATCTCACATTTGGATGACTGTAATAACTTAAATACTTTTATTATCTCACATCTGGATGACTGTAATAACTTAAATATTTTTATTATCTCACATCTGGATAACTGTAATAACTTAAATACTTTTATTATCTCACATTTGGATTACTGTAATAACTTAAATATTTTTATTATCTCACATCTGGATTGCTGTAATAACTTAAATACTTTTATTATCTCACATTTAGATGGCTATAATAACTTAAATACTTTTATTTCTTGGATGCCTGTTAGTACTCAAATACTTTAATACCATTATTTAAATGTTTGTTTTATTATTTAAATGTTTTGTTTATTATTTAATTGATTTGCTTATTAACTTAAATGCTTTGCTTGTATTAAATCTTTAAATAGGGCAATGGATGTGTGGAACAATATAAGAAGAATAATTCAATTATCTGACGATGAGGAGGATAATGAGAGTGTCTTAATATTTGCTGCTCTTTTAGAAGAGCAGAACTTCTATCAAAAGAGGCGTTGTAGGGATTCCATTTTACAAGGGGAAACATATGTTATGGAGATTTTAAACGGCCATAGAGAAAGATGTTATGAAAATTTTAGGATGTATCCTGAAGTTTTTAGAATATTGTGTAGTACCCTGAAAGGTATAGGGCTGAAGGATTCTAAATTTTTAACTGTTTATGAACAAGTGGCAATCTTTTTGCTCACTTTATCTCATAATCAAAGGAATCGTGTTGTAGCAGAGAGATTTTAACACTCCACTGAAACCATTTCTAGACACTTCTATGCTGTGTTGCATGCAGTATGTCAGTTGGGCACCCATATCATTACCCCTCCTAATTTTTCTGTGATTCCGAATAAGATTAGAGAGTCTTCTAGGTTTTACCCTTACTTCAGGCATTGTGTGGGAGCTATAGATGGAACCCACATTCCTACAACTCTGCCAGCAGGTACACAACTTCCATTTCGTGGTAGAAAGGGTTATACCACACAAAATGTAATGGCTGTATGTGACTTTGACATAAGGTTCACATATGTGCTAGCTGGGTGGGAAGGCTCAGCTAATGATTCGAGAATCCTAAATGAGTGTACTGAAAATGAGGCAATGAACTTTCCAGCTCCACCAGCAGGTAATATTTTTTTATAAATTCACTTAATATATGGTTAGTTTATCATACTGTATATATCTTTATGTATTCTAAACATGGCAGGTAAGTATTATTTGGTGGACTCAGGGTATGCCAATAAGCCTGGTTATTTGGCCTCATTTCGAAGTCATACTTACCACTTTCAGGAATACCGTAGGACTAGACAACCTCGTGGTCGGGAGGAAGTGTTCAATTATAGGCATTCATCTTTGAGAAATATAATTGAGCGATGCTTTGGGTTATTGAAGATGAGATTCGCTATTTTGAGAGCAATGCCTCCTTATAAGTTTTCAACACAAGTATTGATTATAATGGCTTGTTGCACATTATATAATTTTATCAAAAATCAGCATCAGCCTGACGACATATTTGATGGTAATGATCCTCCTCAAAGTGATGATGAAGATGATGAGATTGTTGAGCATGTGCCTTCGGCTCAGCTTTGAGAAATGGATCAATTGCGTAATACTATTGCTGATCAGATTTGGAATTCTCTTCAGCACTCTTGATCCTTCTGAAGTTGATGGTATATTTTTTCTTTTATATGTAATATATTTGTTGCTATTGTGAGCTTGCAATATATATATGTAATATAAATATTTTTTGCAGATATATAATTCAACTTAAATGCTATTATTGCAGATATGAAGTGTGTTGATGCTCTATTGAATGCCACATGTGCTGTTATGAAGATGATGTGTCGTTGCCATTGTTATCCACTTTATGAACTTCTTATTAATTTTTAGTGACAACTACGTATTGTTAATGCTTTGTTCCAAACATTTTATGTACAACTTAAACGTGTTTAATTTATTGGTTGAATATTTCAGGACTTGTAAATGTTATACACTCTATTTCAATTATGCTTTCAATTGAGTTTGTTTTTATTTTAATGTTGTGTTGGACTATACAGGTATCAGGATAATAAAATTGAAGCAGGTTATTGTAAATAGGTTATTGCAATTTTTTTTTACAAATGTTGACTCTCATGTAGTATAATAAAATGTGACTAGAGATTATTTATTTTTAATATTGAGTTGGACTATACAGGTATAATGATAATAAAATTGAAGCAGGTTATTGCAAAGAACTTGTAAATAGGTTATTACAAATTTTTTTACAAATGTTGACTCTCATGTAGTATAATAAAATGTGACTAGAGATTATTTATTTTTAATATTGAATTGGACTATACATGTCACACCCCCACATTTTCCACGCATAAGTTGATCAGGCTTATACACGAAAAACGAGGGATATCAAAAACAATTGGCAACATACAAGTATGGAATACAAAATGATAATAATAAAAGAATTTAGACAAGAAAGGAACACTAAATAATAAAATATCCATCCATCCTTTATTTAATACAGTACTCCATTACAACTTGGAAATCCTAGTTCAAGGATCCCTAAATATAAACCTGAGAGTTCAACGTCAAAAGTAAATAAAAAATTGAAACTGAAGTAATACATAAAACTCCTACCCTGAACAGGATCGTAAGAGTAGATGAGTTCGGATGGTGGTTCCACACTGCTAACCTCAACCTTGGAACGGGTACTGACCGTATTACTATATCTGTATACATCCTAAGGGAACTATCCAATGTATAATATGACCTCAACCAGAATAGACGGTGATCACTTAGACTCACACTAGGTGGTTAAGTGTCTCCTTTCCCTACCCGGGAAATCAGCTATTATACATGGTACACGGTACTGACAACACAGACTGTAAAGACTACACAGTAGTAACGCATCTCCATGTACAAATGAATATACTGAGCATATCAATTAGGCAACACATGCCAATAATAATACTAAATATACTGAGTATGTCAATTAGGCAACACATGCCAATAATATTAAACCACATACCCCGACAGCCACACATCTGTCTATCGCAACGAATGCATAAGGTATAAATGAGTCTAAACTTATTAGCCAGCTCACATGGTTCTATATGGCAACACATCCATATAATATAAATGCGACATAATTAATCAGTCCATTTATTCCCTGAAATGCACACAGCATAATAATCATGGTTTATATATGATTAACAGTATAAATATCCCATAATATATAATGGATAATTTATATGACGATAACCGTGACATTATTATATTTGAACAGTAATAATGAATACCATTTAATAACATAATAACACCATCTATAGTAATGTCGTTAAATGAATCACATTCATATCCGTACGGTAAACGAGCCAATTAAGGTTTAGAAATATTAATCGGCCATAATAATACTTAACGGGTATTAAAATAATAATTTCGTGGCCCGTTAAACCCGTAAATACCAACACAGTACCTAAAAATCCAAGTTTAAGGTTCTGAAATTTACAAAACAGGCCCTAGGGGTATTCTGATAATTTCCAGCAGCTGACAGGGCCCTTCACGCGCCCCCACGCGCCGCCCTAAGCTCCCCCACGCGCAGCCCTATGTTTTCCACTCTCTCACGCGCCCACACGCGCCTCCACGCGCGTGTGGCATCATCTACGCGCGCGCGCGCACTCCCACGCGCGCACCATGGCTTCCTGCTGACGTGTCACTTCCTGGTTGGTTGGCTGCATCCAGACTCTGTACTCGCGTCACACCGGATCAATCTTAATGAGCCTAATTAATCCTACGGCCAATGATTCGCGCGCACCATCATATGGTGTTCCGCGCTACGCCGTATTAATCTAAGGATCCACAACCCATCTAACAGCTGCTGATCCATGCGCATGCTTGTTCCAATACACCGCAACACACCAGATAACTCCGGCCACCTTCCTCACTGCCGGTGGCCGGAAACCTCGCCGGAGGCTCGCCGGAAATTGCAGAAAATGCCCGGAAAATTCTTAAAAATTATAAAAAAAAATCCCTAACGCCTTAAGGAATTATTTTTAGCTATTTTGAACTTCATAGGATAATAACTAATTATCTACCATCCTAAATAATTAAAAATTCATTAATTTAATAAACTAAAAAAAATAATCATTTATTAAAATCTAAGCATGCTCTTAATGCTCCATCATAATCTAAATAATTTAAACAATTAATTTATGGATTCAAAGGGGAAAAATAGATAATAACTTGCCTTTAGGATTTAAAATAAATCCGCCGGTTGCGCGTAGTCGGGTAAAATCGCCTACACCGGTCCAACTTCTTTCTCTCACCTTTCTTCTCTTTCTTTCCTCTAACAATAACTCTCTACTATTTTAATTTGTTTCTAACTTACCTTCTCATCAAACTAACTAATATTTATACAAATTAAAATAATATAAATATTACAAATATCTACTTTTACATTTAACTAACCACATTTCCAACCATATGGCTTCAAGTCTACCCATAAACATTAATGAAATCCTATCCTAATCTCTAATTTCATCATGACATTATGATTTAATACTATTATTATTATTATAACTATTATTATTATTATTACTATTATTATTATTATTATTATTATTATTATTTTATTTTATATATACATAAGAATACATTACAATCATAACCATACTTTACCATATGAATATACTACTTTAAGTAACTAATACTGCTTAATACAAACCTTACCAATAAATAAAAAATATATATAAAATATGAATACATGCACAATTAAATTAATTTAATTTAATACATTTACATACACAATAATAGATGAATAACTATCACATTAAATATACAGAAATAATTTTATTTAATTTAAATAAGCCCTTTTTAAAATACGGGGTATTACAATACAGGTATAATGATAATAAATTTGAAGTAGGTTATTGCAAAAATTAATATATATATAATTTGGTGGGGGTTTACATTTTTTTACAAAAGAGAAGGCAAGAATCTGTATTTTGGAGTTAAATTCCCACCAGTGCAGACTTATAAGAGTCAAAAATTATTATCAGAGCTGTGTAGTATTTTTTTTTCTTCTTTCGCTAATGCGAAAAATGAGCAAAATGAATGAAATACAAACCTATGGACAATCATCACCAAAGGAACAAACTATACCAAGAAATTTCAAATAACTTGAAGTATAGTTTCAGATCAAGATAACATGCAAAATGGTAGAAATTATTGGTTCAATTATTAGAACTAACATTCTACATTTTCGTTAAAGCAGTTGCTTCTGTAATTACACTTTGGTTATATATATATATATATATGTTTGTGTGTTCAAATTTCAATAAATTTATTAAAAATATATAGACTATTTATATAGAAATAAATTTAAAATTTATAAAAATAAATTAAAAACAATGATAACCAAACATATTTTTTATTTCTATTTTATTTTGTTTACAACAGTTGGAGTTACCAAATATGTTTTGTTTTTAAAATTCTTGAAACGCATGACTTACCAAACATGTTTTGCATATTTTTGTTTCCGACATTTCTACAGCAAAACATCGTTCCCAAACGTGCTTCCAATTTTTGCCAAAACACTCTAATAGTAAAAACGCTATTTCTGTTTTAGTCAAAAACAAAACGTCTAAAGTAAAACGCATGCCAAACGGGCCCTAATGCTTTATCATAAATGTTGTTCCAATTTTGAGTTATTATAATTCAAGCACGGCTTCAAAAGCACCATTCTTTTATATACTCCTACGCGCGTGTGTGTGTGTATTTAAAAATAATAATAATTTGACTTTGTGAATTAGTTCCTTATATTAATTGTTAGGGAAAATGGTCTTTGTTGTGTCATTAATGAGTAATATTAGTTTAAATTGTATAATCACTTTTAAAATTTGGAAGGTTTGAGTGTTTGAGTTTTGTTAGGGTTGAAATAGTCTTTATTGTGTCATTAATGAGTAATATTAGTCTAAATTGTATAATCTTCTTTAAAATTCCGAAGGTTGAGTGTTTGAAATTTGTTAGGGTCAAAATTGTGATTATGTGAGAAGCCCAAATTGGTAAAGGCACTCATTGAGTCATGTAGAAAATCACATTCAAACACTTCGCCGTGTAGAATTTCGTGTTCCACTCACTTCATCCTCTCCTCCCACTCCTCTAGGTTAAAAAAAAAAGAGTGTGAACTTTTCTATAAAAAGAAATAAAAAAAGGAAAAAACTATCTTTTTATTAGTGCCGTTATACATTACGTATACTTTTTTTTTTGTAACGAGACGTAATGTGTTGAAAAACAAACAATTTACGTATGATATGTTAAAAAGTGCATATCATACTAGAGGCTCCACAAAAAAAAAAAAAAAAAAAAAAAAAAAAAAAAAAAAACTCATGATGAAGAGGTTGAAGTACTAGTGAATCTTTTATAATTTTCAAGATACTTTTTCTCATCTCCATCATATAGCATGTGCTACAGTGCTGCTTACAAATTATTTTAAACCTATAGCGTGTGATTTTGTACAGGATATATATATATATATATAGATGGGATGTCAAAAATCCTAGTGAAAAGTAGCATGTGTGCGTGTGTGTGTGTGTATATATATATATGTAAAAGTTACAGTTGATGGGAACCCGTGAAGATATGATAATTACAGCGAAGGCAAGGGAAGAAAGGCGATTAATGCAGAAAGAAGCACAAGATTGATCCTTTCACGCCTCCCGGAAGATTTGCCTCTTGTTTGAATGCAATCAGTAGATACAGTGACAGATACGATGAAGAATAATACAAGCCATTTAATTACTATATGTATCTCTATTTTATTATTGTGATAGAGACAACGGACCAATGTTTATTATGTCACTTTTAAATCATTTTCAGGACATCGTGGAATAATTAATATTGATCTTTTTTGATAGAAAGAGAAGAAAAAAAAAAACTAGAGAACTAATAACTGTGTTCCCAAAGTATTAATCAGAATTTTGTTACCTAAAAAAATTAAATTTCTATGTGGTTCAACTTTTTTGTTTTTTTTAGAATTATATTAAAGAAAGAAATGTAGGTGATATATGGTCCGACACACAATGCAATGGAGTAGTGGGGACCACTCTCTCGCTTTATTACATTGTAAGAATGGAAGGTGTTTTCTTCAAGGTGTCGAGAATGAATCTTTCTTGTAAAAAAAAGTTGATAATTTTTTATAATTGAAAACATAAAAAGTTCGGAGCTCTCCATAGAATCCTTTCCAAAGCAAGGCTAGGTTGTTTCAATAATGAAGAAGCTTTTGATTTATTACAAAACTATCATTATTATCTTTGCTATAATTCCATATACGGTAAATAAGTTGGTCCAATAAATTACATACAGAGCTAGCTAGAAAAAGACTGAATTTTAAAGAGCACCCTTTTTATAATCTCTGAAAATTGTTTTAATTTTTAAAGCTTTCAAAATTTTTAAAATTTATTCTAAGATAATTGAACTAAATATGCCCTAAGCTTTTACAAATGCTGTACTGGCCAGGGAAAAAAGACATGGTCATATGTACTGTGGAAGTGTGGGACCTTAAATTGCAAATTTTGGCCAGTGCCATCTCAAGTTTGACATGGACTTAATATATATATATATGTGTGTGTGAGACTCCCGTTGCTGCTTTTTTCTTTTGTGGTTTCCGCTGTTGCGTTGTTTCTTAGCAATTCTGGAGCCTGTTCTTCAGTTTTTCTTTTGTTGCTTCATGATTTGTTTGTCTTTGTACGGCCAAAATTTGTTTCCATAAATGTAGAGCCTTTGTAGAGCCTGTTCTTCAGTTTTTCAATTTTGGCCAGTGCCATCTCAAACTTGAGATGGCACTGGCCATTTATGGCGCTCTTTGTAGATGGCATTCTTTAGTTTTTCTTTTGTTGCTTCAAGACCCAGACCAAAGAGTTGGTTCATATCATGAGCAAGAAACAAATTTTGGCCAGTGCCATCTCAAGTTTGACATGGACTTAATATATATATGTGTGTGTGTGTGTGGCCCAAAACTTTCAAGACAAGACCCAGACCAAAGAGTTGGTTCATATAGAGCAAGAAATGTTCACCCACTACAGAATTAGAGTTGGGCTATTCATTGACCAAAGGTGCCTCACTTACCTTGAGCTAGGTCCATATATCCAATTCGGGCCTGTACAAATGGCTAGTTGAGTATGTCTGGACTCTGGGCTGCTACAATAACATACCTTCCCTGTAAAGTTTAATTTTTCCTTGGCAACATCAAAAACAAATGGCACACTGATCTTTGCAGTTGAATGGTTGTGAGAAGACCGGAACCAGAGACGTACATAGCAGAGAGAACCCATACCCTCCTAATACAGAACTCAATTTTGAAGAAGGAAAGACCTAAAGTTCACCACACTCACTGCTCGGGTATGAACCCATCTTCTCCCATTGATGATAATTGTTGAAGTTCAATTGTTTCTCACAAAGGGTCATAAAAATTCAGTCTTGAAATAGAGATGACATGCCTTAAATTTCAATTTTCAGTTCTAGGGTTCTCATTTTCTTAGAATAAAATGCAAACTCTCAGCATATGGCCTTCAAAAAGTAACTTTTGGGTAGTACCCCAATTGGAGTTGGAAGTGGGTGGTTCATCTTGTAATTTAAGTCCTAGGAGGAGGAGAAGGAAAATATGTGATCTTGGTGATTCTGTTTGTTACAGTAGAAAGCCTAGCCCCTTTTTGGTTTGGGCTTGTCTTAGGAGCCCTAAATTTGATTTGGATTATGGGTTTTTCTCTAAATTCTCTAAACCTAGGGTTTATCTGCTTTCCGAGCCAAACAAGGGTTCTTTAAGCACGTCTTTTGCCTTGGCATAGGCACTAGAGGGACAAGCTGTTGGAAGTGATGTCAGTGAAAAAGATTCGAATTCATTAGATGGATTTTCAGGGGAAGTTGAGGTTGAGGATGTTGATTGTATTGATTTGAATGATGTAAAAAGCAGAGACTTAAATGACAATAATGATAAAAAAAAAGATGAAGGTAGCAAAACTGAGGAAGTAGGGGGAGAGAAGGGTAGAAGGGTTGATGTCATTGCGCTGGCTCAGAGCCTATGGTTTGCCAAAACAGCTGATGATGTAGAAGAGGTTCTCAAGGACAGAAGTGAATTGCCCTTTCAAGTTTGCTCATCTATGATCAGAGGATTTGGCAAAGACAAGAAACTACATTCTGCCATGGCTCTTGTTGAGTGGCTAAAACCAAAGAAGAGAGATACTAACGGTTTAATTGGCCCTAATCTTTACATATATAATAGTCTTTTGGGTGCAGTGAAGCAATCTGAAAAATTTGATGAAGCAGAGAAAATCATTGAGGATATGATCATTGAAGGAGTGCTCCCTAATGTTGTAACTTACAACTCTCTAATGGGAATTTACCTAGAACAAGGGCGAGAAGCTGAGGCTCTTGATCTTTTCGAAGAGATACAAAAGAATGGTTTAACTCCATCTCCCGTGTCCTATTCTACCGCATTGTTAGCCTATCGAAGACTAGAAGATGGATTTGGTGCTTTGAATTTCTATATCGAGTTAAAACAGAAGTATCAAAAAGGTGATATAGGAAAAGACGCAGGTGAAGATTGGCCAAATGAGATGGTTAAGCTTGAGAACTTCACAGTTCAAATTTGCTACCAAGTGATCCGGCGTTGGCTTGTGAAGGATGAGAACTTGAGCACCAATGTGTTGAAACTTCTTACGGAGATGGACAAGGCTGGACTGAAAACTGGCCGGTCTGAACATGAGCACCTTGTATGGGCTTGTACTCGTGAGGAACATTACACAGTGGTAAGAGAATTATATAGTAGGATGAGAGAAAGGGATTCTGGAATAAGCTTATCTGTCTGCAATCATGTGATTTGGTTGATGGGGAAGGCTAAGAAGTGGTGGGCAGCTCTGGAGGTTTACGAGGATTTGTTGGACAAAGGGCCTAAACCAAATAACATGTCATATGAACTGATAGTTTCTCATTTCAACATTCTACTCACTGCAGCTAAGAAAAGAGGAATATGGAGATGGGGTGTTAGGTTGCTCAACAAGATGGAAGAAAAAGGCCTAAAACCAGGAAGTAGGGAATGGAATGCAGTTCTTGTAGCCTGTTCCAAGGCTTCAGAAACTTCTGCTGCTGTGCAGATATTTAGAAGAATGGTGGAACAAGGTGAAAAGCCCACCATTATCTCCTATGGGGCACTGCTTAGTGCTCTTGAAAAAGGGAAACTCTATGATGACGCCCTTCAGGTGTGGGAGCATATGATTAGAATGGGAGTTGAGCCAAACTTTTATGCCTACACAATTCTGGCTTCGATTTATGCTGCACAGGGAAAATTTAATATGGTAGATTCCATTATCCGGGAAATGGTTTCATCTGGGGTTGAACCGACTGTTGTCACGTTCAATGCAATTATCAGTGGATGTGCACGGAACAATATGGGAACTGCAGCATATGAATGGTTTCACCAAATGAAAGCTCACGGCATCTTACCCAACGAAATTACTTATGAGATGCTGATTGGGGCTCTTGCAGAGGATAGTAAGCCAAGACTTGCCTATGAGCTGTACTTGAGGGCTTACAACGAGGACATGAACCTCTCTTCAAAGGCATATGATGCAGTCACACAATCCTCACAGGATTATGGTGCTACTATTGATCTAAATACTCTAGGCCCTCGGCCACCGGAAAAAAAGAAAGTAGTACGAATTAGAAAGAACTTGTCTGAGTTCTGTAATTTAGCTGATGTTCCAAGAAGAAGTAGACCATTTGACAGAAATGAAATTTACACTCTGCAAACAGAACGAAAACTGTTAGTAATTTGGTACATTTGCAATCTTTATGATACTGTATTTGTCCATTCATTAACTTGTTTAAATGCTTTAGTTTGAATGAGTCAGCTTCAAAGCATCCAAACTAAGTTTAAGACCTTCCATAATCATACTTGGCTAAAGTTTGTTGCTTGCTTCAGTTTCTGAGAACACTGTGGTAAGGAAGCTAAAATTTTGACCTCAGCATTATTCTGACTTCTGAAGTTGTAATATTCTGATTCTTTTATCAGTTTTGTTACCTCAACATTATTCTGATTTCTGAACTCTTAATATTCTGTCTTTTTTTTTGCATCAGTTTTATTATCTTTTGAGCAACCAACCAGTGCAAACAAGAACTTGTTTTCGTGAGATCTTAACATACATTGTTTGGCAATTTAATACCAATTTAGACTTTCGGAGTAAGTGGCTTTTTAACATAGAGCTCTGATTCTTGGAGATCGTGAATTATAGTCTTTGCATCTGCATTTATTCCCTCCTCTTTTCTTTGCACTTTATGCTGTTTTTAATCAACTTGTTCAGTTGCACTCTATTATGTTTGTTTCTCTACCTCAAGTCACATCATTTATTTCATTCATTAGGAACAAGTGGTTGTCAAACTGTTTTTCCAAATGCAAATAGATAACCTAGCAATGTTTTTTTCTTAATCTAGCACTCCTCTCTACTGATTATATTAGAGTATTAAAAATGGAGTCTAAAAATGAATAGATTTAAGGGTTTTCTTGTTTCTTTTTTGAACAAAGCCATTGGCATTCTCTAGATTCACTTATTCTGTTCTCTCTTCTTTAGGTGTTTGCTTAGATTTTATTGAAATGCTCTGGTTTTACTTTGTATTATGGAGTTATTCCTGCTTGATCTTGTAATAGTTTCTTCATCATTAATATCATCTTGCTTGCTTACCCAAATAAAAAATTGGAGTTCAAATACCATCTAATGCACACTAGAACTGAACTTAGGTAATGTGTTTGAAGGCTCATGCAGAAATTATTTTCAACTTTGGGCATCAAAGTAGAACACCTCAAGTGGTAGGCAATTTCTCAAAGCATTCATGAGGAATTGACTTGTGTGGTGTGAAAAAACACCCTCATGCACAAGCTAGTTTAAGAATATAATAATGCCACCAAATCACCAGTGCAATGGCTCAATGGAAAAGTGATTCATATACCTGATAGCACCATATTATCAAAACACACACGCACACACATGCCTGATATCCCATCCCAACCGAATTGTTTGACTTCTGGATAATGGATTCCCAATATATTGGCTGCTGCTGGGATCAGTAAATGGGGTGTGACTCAGACAACTTTTAGACAAACTCAGACAACCTTGCAAGAACAATGCAACTCGATAATTCAAACCTCCTAGGCTTTTATCCCCCTTAGATATGTTTTAAGTGATAAACATGGGTCCTATCTAAAACATATCTAGGGGTCACTTAGTGATTTAGACCTAACTTATCGACTTAAATATTATTTTTCTTTGCAAAAAAAAAAAAATATTCGGTGGCAGAACAAGTTTTAGACCGCACAAGGTTTGGAAGGGTAGGTGACAGTTCAGAATTTTGCATCAAGTCAGTAGCAAAAATGTCATTTTCTTTTCTTCCACAGCAAACAAAAAGGGTGTGAGAAGTATTTACGATGATATATCTTCCAAGATATACCTCCTTTATAGGCTTTTTTTGATAGCTTTCCCACCATTGGTTTACAACCAATCTTAATAGAAATGAGTTGTTTCTTGAAATTATACTTTTATCTTTTTCGCTTGTTGGGATTAAGAATATTCCTAATCATTCATGGACCACCCTTGTCTAATTTTTTATTCAAATTTACAAAAATGGTGATCATGTCTTTCTCCTAAATATCTGAGTAAAAAACCAAACATATATATTATGCCAAAGATGGACAGGGCCACATAAAGCGGTTGGTCTAGAAGGGTCTTCTAATTAACTAATAACTATAGACTAAGGTAGACTAAAGTATAGTTTTTAACCCCACAATAGAATTTGTATACATGCACTTTCTTTTTGGCACTACATGATTATTTATTTATTATTATTATATATTTTTTGAAGTTCTGTAGTTAAAAGATATTGGTTAAATTACAGTTACATGTTTTCTAAATCCATTCATCAGTGGTGGCAAAGTAATTTTAATTATGAAAAGTCTGTATGTCCTTATATTATAATAATATAGTATATTGCATTTTATCTAATGAAAGGATAAATTTTTTATTTTATAAAATTTGGTCAACATATTTGTTGGAAAGAAAGCATTAAGGGTGTATTTGAACACATGGACCAAATTTTAAAGAAAGTTAAAGTAATAATTGATTAATGGTGTAATTATGTGTAATTTGTTTAACTATTTAAAGATATATGTTGTGTTTGGAAAAATCTAAATAATGTTATGAAAATGAAATTAGAGACCTGATTTAGTACTTCCCACGCATAATTTTAGTAATATTATCATTTAAAAGGTTTTCTTTTTTCTGTTAAAAAACTATTAACCATACAGACCTAATTGTTAAGTAACTTGTTGGCTAATCATTTGCTATGTCATTTATACGTATATATTAACTTCTTGAATATGCTAAATCTAACTTGGACAATTGTTTAAGTAACAAACTTAACCACTCAGACCTAATTGTTAGGTAATTTTCAAATAACAAACTTCTATTTTTTTTTTTTAAAACATAATTTCAACTAACAAACTTGTTGCTTAATCACTTTATATAATTTACACACACACACACACACACACATATATATCTACTCCTGGAATATGTTAAATTGTATTGATTTGTGACTTCACTTGTACAGAAAGCAAACACGCTACGCTAGATTATCTTAAATCCTAGATTAGATATTATAAAAAGCATATAAGCAACCCCAAACCTGTCTCATTCATCTTTCCATTTCAAAACAAATATCAGATTTTTATATAGGATTTTCATAACTCAATTTAGTGTTGTAGGGGATCTAACCCATGGAGCCACGTGGCACATTCAACGTCTCTTGGTTTGGGCTCGAGTCTAGTATCATTAATGATATTACATATCTCAATTGCAACACTAATAATAATATTAATGAATTCTAGAGACCGCCGACTTTGAAAAGATGTGTATTTAATGTAATCATACCTGTCCTCGAACCAGAATGCCCCTATTAAAGCTTGTAGGCTCATGATGGCTACCCTAAGCGAAATCTCAAAGGTCTTTGAGACTCATGTAAATGGTTTGAGACTATAATTATATAAGTCCGAGGACATGAAAGAAAAGAACTTTTAGTTGATATTCTATTATATCTTGTATTGTCATTTGTAATATTGACATATATTCAAGAATCCTTATAAGTGCTTAATGCTAAACGGATTAAGCATTTATCCAATTAAACGCGTTTAATTATACAATTTAAATATCACTAAAACAGTAAGTGTCATTTAAAATAAAATAAAATTTTAAGTGATAGAGATTTCACTAATATTAAAAAAAATTATATTTTAATTATGAATTAAAAACTACAGTATAACACTTAAAATTAAACTCAGTACTTAATTTATCAACAATTATCAGTGCTATATTTTGACATGAGTCACGGGATAGTCCCGAAAAGCTTCGCTCGAGCGATTATGAATAGACACTCTCTCAATGAGCTTACAGATGTACGCCATGTGGCACTCCAAATATTATATATATACACACACACACATATGAGCATAGCAGTGTCATGTTGTGGGTGCTCGAGTCTGATATTATGTTGCACGTTCAATCAAAAGTTCTGAATGCCAGCTCAATGTAAGAAGGTTCTTGTAATATATATATATATATATATATATATATATATATATATATATATATATATTTTGTATAACATAATACATCTGAAATTTTATATATATTTTAGGCATTGACTTGTCGCTTTACCGTAGAGAGCCAATCCGACATTACTGATCTAAATGTAGTAATTATATTTATATTTAATTATACTTTGTGTGCTGGGTTGAATTGAAATATGAGAATTAGAATTTGCAAAATTTGATAAAAAAATAATTCAAAAAATTGATTCAAAATTTTGTTAAATTTCATCAATTTCAATTCCAATACTCTATTTTCATACAAAGGAATACATTCTTAGTCTCTTTGTAATAAATATTATAAAGAAAAGACACTTCTATAAAGTATTGTATTGGTATTCCACACTAAAACTTTATCAGTACTTCTTAACAATTATCCAACATTTCATGATCTTGTCTACTATTTAAAAATAAATTTTATTATTTTGGACACTTAACCCACACATTTTATATAATTGATTGATATATCTCGAACATATTTTATATAATTTATACACTTGCCCTATTTGATATGTATTTTGTTTTTGATGTTTTTGTTTTTGTAAAGTATTGTAATAGTGAATAGTGAAAAAAACTTGTTTGGTAAAAATAATTTTGTTTTACACAATGTCAAAACTTTTCTTGAATAGTGGCAAAAAATCGAAACACCAATTTGATATTTTTATATATTTTCACGCTGTAGCGTTTGGTATTATAGTCATGAAAAATAATATATATATATATTTTTAAAAACTCTTAAATGACATTTTTAAACTAATTATTATATTTTTTAAACTTCCATCACTTTTTTTTTTTTTATCAAATATGTTTTTATATATTTCTTTTAAAAATTCTTACAACAAATAGAAGTTACTAATCCTGTTTTTTATTACAATTTAAAACATTCTATAACAAAACACTTGTCTTATTTTAAAGTTTTGAATTATAACAAGATGCCATAAACTTAATGTATAATCAAACAAACCCTTAGTCAATAGACTAAAACATCTTTCATCTTATATAAAATAAATACATAACAGTCTTGAAAATAATACGTAGTATTGCAAAACATACAACTTTAGGAATAAAAACATAACCAAAATGATAAAATGAAATAATAATATCAAATATTATATAAGATATACTTTTTATATTATGTAATTTTAGCATAAGATTTACAAATTAATTATTAGTCGTGTTCGTGTCGTATTTATATTCTATTAATTTAGAATTTAAAGTCTCGTATTTGTGCTTCTTAGAATATATATATATATATATATATATATATATATATATATATATATTTTGCATGTTACAACTAACAGCTTGGAAACTTGGAATGGAACACAATCCTGTAGCCTTGCTTTAATTTCAAGTCGATTTATATAATCATTATTATAACCATAAATACAGATATATATATCTATATATATTATATATATATATATATATATATATATTTATTACAATACACACCATGTGTGAGTGTAACTGGCTCAAGTATTCTTTGCTTCTAAAAACCTCTGTGGCGAACTGTTCTATCCTCCAACTCGATTCAATCTGATACCCCTCAACGGTTTCTCAATCGTCTGTAAATTATCCACAACCCCAGAAGAAGATTTCAAATTCTTGTGCTTCGCAACATTTGAATACACACAAAATTGAGTTCATTCAACATTTGAACACACACAAAATTTTCTTTTCGGAAAACGTAAAAGACCCGCCTGTGTTCATCTGTGTTTATTTTATTTTATTTTATTTTATTTATCGCTTTTTGGTACCAGAAGAGGGTTTGAGATGGAAAAAGTTCATAATTTTTTTCGGGTTCTCGGATTGGATTGCGGAGATTTGATGTGGTTCTGAGATGGGTTTGAAGTGATTTAATAGATCTGGGTTTGTTTGGTGGATGAGGACTGAGGAGACCTATGGAGCCTCCAAGTGGATTCTTGGCTTCTCTGTGGAACTTTATTTGCTTCTTGCCTTACTTCATTGGTCTCCTTATTTTAGGTTGCATAAAAGGTCAGTGACAATTTTTTTTTTTCCTTTTTTGTGTTGTTTTTCTTCTTCCTTCTTGTTCTGGTAATTGTAACCTTCTTTTACTCAATTTGGGTATATAGATTTTATGCTATAGATATTTATACATTTTCTCGTTTTGAATAAATTTGGCCTTTCAATTTACAATTTTTTAATCAATTTTATCAAATAATTTAACTATGCTTCAAACGCGGATGGTCTCTGTTCGTGTTTGGTATTGTCACTCTTTTTTTTTTTTCTCCACTTAATTTGGCTATATAGATTTTCGGCTATACATATTCATCTCTTGAATAAATTTGGCCTTTCAATCGACAGTTTATGTGTAAGCGTTATCAAATTATTTAACTATGCTTCTAACATGGATGGTCTTTGCAAGTGTTTGGGAGCAAAGCTATCATTTTTATGCTGAGGAATGGTACGATTGAGAGGAACCAAAAAAAAAAAAAAAGTTCATGTTTTTCCAGTTTTTCTTCATGTATCCAATAACTATTATTAGCCAAAATGAAATTTGGGTTTTTTGGGTTTGAAGTCCTTTAGTTTTATATTAGTTTGTAGTATGTGTGGGATTTGAGGTTGCCTAGAAACTTTTGTCTTCTTATTGTTTTTCTCAGCATGATTATATTCTGATTTTCCTAACTGTGCATTTAATTTGTGATGCATTAACAAATTTAACAGTAAATTACAAACCTCCTCTCCTATTTCCTGAAAAGAAAGAAGTAATCGTAAGAAACACTTTTCATTTTCTCGATTTGGAATAAATTTGGCCCTTCAATCGACAGCTTTTGAGCAAGTGTTATAAAAAATAAATTAACTATGCTTCAAACATGGATGGTCTTTGTAGGTCTTTCGGAGGAAAGTTGTCATTTTTATGCGCAGGAATGATTCAAAATGAAATTTGGTTTTTGGGTTTGAACGCCTTCGGTTGTATATTAGTCTGTAGTAAGTGTGGGATTTGAGGCTGTCTGGACATTTTGTCTTCTTATTGATTTTGTCAACATGATTGCCATTATGCTTATTTTCCTAATTGGGCAATTAATTTGTGATGGCGTTAACAAATTTAATGGTAAATTACAAACCCTCACTCTTTTTCTTGAAAAGAAATAAGAATAAAAATAATAACAGTAAGGATCAAAGGATTGAATTTTGCAGTTTAAGGAACAGGATGTGTATTACGGACTTTACAGTAGTTAAAAATATGTCTTGCTATATGATTTATTTATGTGTCACCGTAGGAGGAAAGATGATTTAGATTTTCTTTGCTGAGTGATGATTGTAACTCGAGGTTAATGTAATAACCTTGCAGGTATCATTTTCTGCCCATTGATATGCCTTATCATCACAATTGGAAATTCCGCAATTATTATAGGTCTTTGGCCAGCTCACTGTTTCTGGACATATTATCGGATTCTGGGGTTAGTTCTTTTATATCTCACTTCTAATATCCTTGCTTAGCCTCATTGTATCATGTATCATGTATCCTGCACTGATTCCTTTTGCATTTTTTAATGGCAGAGCTAAACAAATAGGGCCAGTTTTGAAGCTTGTACTCTGTTTAGGCATTTCTGTTCTCTTGATTTTGTGGCCAATTTTTGGTATTGTTGGGAGTATTATTGGTGGTGCAGCATATGGCCTTCTTGCTCCAGTGTTTGCCACTTTTAAAGCTGTTGGTGAAGGGAGGACTAATGATTTTTTCCACTGTATTTATGTATGTTTAAACATCTTAAATTTCAACATCATTTATTATCTCTCTGTCCCTCATTTTGTCTTATGTTGCCTTTTCTTCTTATTTTCTTAGAAGAATTTCTTTTTCACTACTGTCAGGATGGAACTTGGGACACTGTGAAATGGAGCTTTACTTTTGTCAGGGATTTTTTGGATGTGTGTTATCATTCCTACTTCTCAGTTATGGATGATCTACAGCGTCCAGGGCCTCCAGAGGGAAAATATTATGAGATAAGGTTGGTTGTTGGGTTTGATTATGGATTGCCTCTTGTTTTAGCACATACTAATTTTTCTTTTGGCCAATGAAACTGTGAATAGAAACCTTCATTCTCATATAAAACTCTTGTATGGTGAACACATAGGCATCAATAATCATAGTTCTCCTTCAGGCCTGTATGCGGAACATTTATGCTATCATACTTTTCCTTTCAACTCTTCTCTACCAGTCTCGAAATCTTGATCTAGAGCCTGGGAATTCAGACCCAAGACCACTGGGACAAAGGTAGACCAGTTTTATGCTATCATACTTTAAAGGCTTAACTTCAGCAAGTGCCCTTTTGACTTCCCAATTAGGTTGAAATTCATTGTCACCACGTGCTGGCTCATTACTTATTTTCAGAAGGCTGAGAAAATCACCCAGTGGTTTATTAACTAACCAGTTCTAAAATAATAAATTCTATAATTACCATGACACTGACAAAAAAGTGAATATTTTTGTTAGTCGCCCAATTATTCATAACGAGGGAAACATTGTAGATGCCGTTAATCATAGAATCAAGGCAGGATGGGTTAAATGGTGGAGTGCATCTAGTATATTGTGTGATAGGCGTATCCCCTTACGATTGAAAGGGGAACTCTATACAACAGCTACTAGACCAGCCATACTTTATGGTACCAAATGTTGGGTAGCTAGGAAACAACATTTGCATAACGTGAGTATGGTAGAAAAGCTAATGTTGAGATGGATGTGTGGTAAGACTAGAAATGTCAAAATTAGAAATGATCACATTCGGAGATTGTTGGAGTAGCACCAATTGAGATAAAACGGGAGAAAATCGGTTAAGATGGTTTGGACATGTGCAAAGAAGACCTTTAAGTGCGCTGGTTACGAAAAGTGTCATAGTCCACGTTGAGGGTAATACTAGGGGAAGAGGAAGACCAAAGTTAACATGGGTAGAATTAGTTAAGAAAGATATGATACTATGTGGCTTGACTGCGACTATGACCTTAAATAGAGTGTAATGGAAACAAGGGATTCATGTAGCCGACCCCAAGTAATTGGAAAAAGGCTTGGTGGTGGTGGTTGTACCATCGCACTGACAATCTACTGCAGGCTACCCATGAACCATGCAGCTACCGTAACTATAATCATGCTGCAGCATGCATGGCCTGTGGTCTTCCCGCTGTTCAGCAATCAAAATGAATTATGTGTTTTCATTTTAAGTTCTTTGATGATTGATTTATAATCTAAGTGGGAGTCTAAACCCTTTCCGTATCCGTATTCCTGTAGTTGTTATGCCTGTCTAAATTATTAACCTAATGCTGAAGTTCAGCCAGTTGTTAGAAGTGAAAGCTTACAATGTTTTGTGGATATGAAATAATACATATAACCTCTACAATTACTTTAAAAAATGGTTTACATTGGTGACTGTTCCTCATAGTGATATAGTTCATTTGTTTGACAGAACCTTTTCACAAATTGTCTTGCAGAGTACTTTATCTTCCTGGGGCTCTTATAGCTGGTGTGCTTGGTTTCATGGTTGACATGCTGGTCATTTCACTTGTTGCCCTTTACAAGAGCCCTTATATGCTGTTCAAGGGATGGCACCGTTTGTTTCATGACTGCATAGGTCGGGAAGGCCCTTTCTTGGAGACAATATGTGTACCATTTGCAGGTCTTGCTATCTTACTCTGGCCACTGGCTGTTGTTGGGGCTGTATTAGGCTCCATGGTATCAAGCATCTTCTTAGGTGCTTATGCAGCAGTGGTTGTTTATCAGGTTACACTGCCCCTTCTTTCATAGTTTTTAATGGACTACCATATGTAAACGAGTATTCAGAAATATCTTAACCTTTTAACTTATTTTTTGGTCATGGCTCCATTTTATGTTATGATTTCATGATAAATGATAAATTTGTGCTTTTAATGGACTACCATCTGTAAACGAGTATACAGAAATATCTTAACCTTTTAAGCTATTTTTTGGTCATGCCTCCATTTGTTATGATTTCATGATCAATGATAAATTTGTGTGTGGTCAAATTCTCTTGAACAAATTTTCATAATTTTTTTTATTGTGTGGTTTACAAACACCCCAAGGAATAGTTTATATATATGTATGATAATGAAATTTCTTTCAACGCCAAATGCTGAGAACTATGTTAACATTTATGTACATGAATTGCAAGCTATTCTTAAAATTGTTGTTTTTGGCTTTGGGTTACAGGAATCCTCGTTATGGTTGGGACTTTGCTATATCATTGCTTCATTATCCATTTATGATGAGTACAGCAATGATATTCTTGACATGCCAGATTGGACCTGCTTCCCTAGGTTGTAATCAATATTCAATTTTCTGATGGTTGTTTCTTCTTTTATAAACTAAAATTGTTACGCAACATACATCCAGGCCTCGATACCGAAAGAAGGCTGAGCTATCACGAGGCAACTCTCGTGCAGCATCTTTCTCAAGGCCGGACTCTTTCCGAAATCCACCTTCTCGAACAGCTTCACTCAAGACTCCTTTGGTCGAGTTGAAGCCACTTGAGGTATTTGTTAGCACTCCATTTGCATGTTAGAGGAATGAATCTTTTAGTAATGAAATTCTGCATCTAGTGCATGCTAATGATGGACAAATCAGTTTAGTTAATTAATTATTATTATTATTATATAATCTTACATTTATTTTGGATTTTAGGGCTAATTTCAACTTAATTCACGACTGCTGTAGTTAATTGATAGCTTATTTAAGGAGTGTCAACGCCAAGGGGAAATTATGGCTTCTGAAGGACTAATAACACTTAAAGACATTGAAGATGCTAAATCTAGTAAAGATAGTGGCAGGGTGATAAGTATAGGTTTACCAGCTTATTGTCTCCTCCAAATGCTTTTACGTTCTGCACATGCCAACTCTGCTGGTTTATTGTTAAGTAAGTAAAAGAAATGCATTTCCCGTTTAGCGTTGTTTCTTTTCCTCGTCCTGACATAATAGGCAGCTTTCAAAGATTTGACCATAAATACTTGTTTTCATCGGTGCAGGTGACAACGTCACTGAGATAACTAGTACAAACAGACCCAAAGATACATTCTTTGATTGGTTTCTTCATCCACTCCTGATCATCAAAGACCAGATTAAAGCTGAAAACCTCTCTGAGACTGAAGAGAACTACCTAGGAAAATTAGTGCTGTTGAGTGGTGTTCCTGAGAGGCTGAAAAAACCAAATATTGGCTCACCACCTGAATCTGAGCTTAAACGAGCCGAACTTGATGCGCTAGCTCGAAGGTATTGATTCAAAATTTTCAGTTAGGGTTTGAATTTTGTTAAATAATATATTGTAATTCTATTGAAGTTGTAGTTCCTTGTTACTGTATTTTTTTCTCTATTTTCCATGAAGGCTTCAAGGGATCACCAAATCTATCTCAAGGTATCCAACATTTAGGCGTCGTTTTGATTATAGCATCAGAACCATATCTGAAGATCTTGCTAAGAAAAATGGTGGCAGCAAACCGAGCAATGCCATTGTCCGGATATTTAGCCAGAAATCTTTTAAAAGCAAGACAAACTACCCAGGGGCGAATCGAGAGTCTCAACCAGTTATCGAAAGAGATGTGGAAATCGCATGATACAAATGTTGCATGTAACCTCTGTTCCATCTTTGATTTTGTATCCTTTTTCATATTAATTGTAAACTTTGTTCATACACAAAATTCCACACTATTGTGTTTCATTTCAATTTGCCAAAAGACACACTCAACTATGGACAGATCCTCTTTCCTAATTCAAGAGGATTAGTTTGTAGTAGAAGTTTTTCATGCATACCTCTCCTTAAAGGACTTGAATTCCCAAAGAATCACTGAAGTCAGTGTATTTGAACTTTTAGCATCCTAGTTTTTAACTTAGAAACTACAAATTAGATGTCTGATGAACATCTGTTGGAAAAGCCACTGTGATTAAATGGAATATGTTTTCATTTACATTTATTTATATATTTATTTTGACAAGTATACTGTCTTATCTTTATAGAGATATTTAGGTATATCCACTGACATCCTAAATCTTTGATAGATTTAGCATGAGGGTGACAGTTTTCAGTTTTATTTAATTTGCATATGTGTGAGGAATCAGGATCACTGGGATCACAGATGTCCGCAATATATAATAAATATATTACATTGTTTCTGTGCCGGTAATGTAACATGCAATAGCAAGAGCCATGTGACTTGGTGGTATTTCTTTTATCTCTCAAAGTGGATGGTAGAAGGTTTGAATCTTCAAAAGAGCAAAGTGGGGGTGTGAAATTTTTTGCCAAATATACATACAACATGCAATGTAAAGTTGTTGAGTTAGGTAATTATTGTAATTTGAAAGTTGTTGCGGTGTCATGGGAAAGAATTTGAGAAATTTAAGTAATAGCTTTTTATGTTCTATCTTCTCTCTCGGTAATTTCATCTTGACTTTATGATATCTGAAAATTTAGACTCTGCGTAAATGCCAAAGCTGCGGGACAGACGAAACAAGCTGAGAGGATATTAAAAATGTAATCTTTACATTTGCTTCACTCAATTGAACAAAGATTTGCTTTTGAAATCTTATGTTTGTGTAACATCCGTGGTAATCCATTATTACGGTAGTAGATGTTGAGAAGTCTCAAGACTAAGCACAATAAAAAATTATATATATATATATATATACGCACACATTTGGAGCCTAACCTATGGCTGTCTAGATTTAGAAAATGACGGAGACAGGAATTTGCGGACAAGGAACTTATGTGGGCTATGTTGTGAAAGTACTGAGAGTTTCTGTGGGGTATGTTGTGAAAGTACTGAGAGTTTCTGTGGGGTATGCTGACCATCTTCAAAGTCTTCTGCCTGGGATTCAGAAACTGTGTGCATGTGCGCTAAGTTTTTGAAGCTGCCTGTAGCTTCTTCAACTTGGCCATTTCAGGAGGAAAATACTGTCATGGGGCGCTCTCACGGTGAGCTCGTGTCTTCATCTGAGAGATCGAGTGTCGTATGTCACATACACTTGATTCAACAGATGAGGGTGCGAGCTCACTCTGAGAGCGCCCTTCATAGCATTGCATTTTCACTAATGCACCCAAAAATCCTATAACTTGGAAAGTAGAGAATAAATAACATTATAGAGTACCTACAAACCTTTAACTTGGAAAGTTCATCAAAACACCCAAAAATCCTCAAAATGGAGAGCATACCATAAATAACAACATTAGAGGACAAGCAATTAGTTTGAACTTAAGGTTCAGCATTCCTCTCACTTATACAAATTGAAGTGTGACAACATAAATTGAAGCATCAATGAGCTGACAGCCTTGCATCAAATAATCTCCCAAACTGCCTAACTTAGTTCGCATCCTCGTGTCATTTGGGAAAGCTGTAAAAATTACATAGAGAGAAGAAGAATGCCGTCTATTCCTTCTTTCTAGTGTCTTTCTGCTGCCCCTTCTTTCGAATTGCAAGGCAGAACCGCAGGCGCCAAGCATCAATGGCAGACTCCGGCACCAAGAATGCTAAACCCCAAAGAATAGAATGGGGCCAGTAAGGCGTGCAACGTGGTTCATAGCCTATCCAGCGCATTGCAGCTTGAGCATAGCCATCTGTTGATGGAACAAAGAAAGAGGATCTCCTAATTGATGCCATCTTTGTTGCCACGTACAAGGGCACCTATATTTAAGGAACCCATAAGAGGATAAAAATGAAAAACAAAAACAAATATTGACATGTAACACATATGATTGCCTAAGAACATGAAGTTCACAGACACTGCTCAAATAAGAAATGTCTGTCTTTTACACACACGCGCGTATAAGTATTATGTTTTCAACAATTAGAAATCATTGAAGTTAAAAGTTAGTAAAGTATTATAGAAGCACAGTCCTTGATGCAGATAAGAGTTGCAGATAAAGTGAAGCAAAGTAAGGAAAACTTACCCAACAAGTAAATCAATAAATAAAGGAAATATCTTTTAATCACAATAAAAGTAACATAAAGAAGATTCAATAATTTGGGGTACCGATGGCAAGGCACCTTTCAAGCTGGCTCCATATAGGCCATTTTTTCTTTTTAAAATGAAAACATAGTTTTCATAAGAAAATTAAGTAAAATGTTTACCTAAAAGCTAATACTATATTCCAAGCTTATAATAAAATGAATTCTCCAATTGTTTGAAGCAGAATGCAGGTTGTAGTTGATACCAATTTGAAAAACATATAATTGGAAACACCAGATTTTGATCACATTTTGAGAGATTTACACATCCATTTAGGTGATTAGAGACAATAAGATGCTAGATAATGCTTTATAAAATTGGGTAGGAATTAGTTTGATCACATTTCGGTATTTCTTACAATCATCTAGATGGTCAAAATCGGAACCTTTTCCCATTTTTTTTTTTTAGTTGTGAGCCACTTAAAGAAGCACATATCCTTGACATATCCTGAATTCCTGATTTGGAGAAACTTGCATGAAAAGCGATGGTGCCGATATGATTTTGTTGGAACTCTTCAAGTCTGCCATGCTACGACTTGATACAGTGTTCCAAAATCCAATGCAGTAGCATTTGAGAGTCAGAAGACCAGGAAAAGCTCCACTGTCCTGCTACTTTAAAAAAATGAAGCAAAAGCTCCATGCACCTCGAAAAATATTATATCCAGACAAATATTAGAGCATCCCATGTGCTCTTTTCTTTTTTTTTTTTTCTTTTTTCTTTTTCTTTTTTTTTTTTTTCTAGTTGGGTACTCACACACACATGCCTCCACTGAGGCTCGAACCCCTGACCTCTCTTTGAAAAGTAGGAGCTTGGTACCGCTAGGCCATTGGCCTGTTGGTCCATGTGCTCTTCTTAATCAAAAGATGTGGAAAAAAGGTAGGGCATCCAGCGGGGGAATGGATGGAGTTACATGGGGCTGATGGGGAGCGTTTGCCTCCACTAATTTATTTTTATTTATATTAAATGCCTAGAATTTTGCTAAAATTCTAGTAATGCCCCCACTAAATTTTTGGTAAAATCCCCTTTTCTGGTAGCCTGGATAATTCTTATCTTATTGTTGCTCCAGGCCAGCCCCCTCAAATAATATTCAGACTCCATCACTCGGGGGTGGGTGGATGGGGGATATTCATGGTCCATTCAGTAAATTTTTTAAAATTTTATATTCATTAAAATCTTTCAAGTTCAAATTAAGATTAGAAGAAATGAAAAAATTAGACTGGGTGCCCAAATTATATAGACTTGAATCTCACAAGTACAATTTTATGGTAAGGAATTGATACAACAATAAATAGAGAGAAAGAACAGATATTCTATAGCAAATTCTGATGTCTAAAAAATTATGCAAATAATGGTGATAAAGGCATATCGTCTACACTAGCATGAACTAGGAGAAGCAAGGCCACAAAGTGGGGCTTATAGAAGTCAAGCATACCTGACACTGCACATCAATACCGCTCTTCCTGTACTCTACATAGAGGCATCTGGAGAACTGATCAATATATCTGAAATTGACCCACCAGTATTATCAATCCGTTAGTCAGATTCAAGTAAAACCGTTTATACTGAAATACTTTACAAATACATTCCCTCACGAACACAGAAGTGAAATATTGAATCCAATTCTCCCAATGGGATATAAAAATAAAATGGAGTGGGAACACGAAAAAACAGACATTTATTAGGAAATCTCAAAAGACAGATAGCATGAATTCAACACAAGCAATGAAAACCATCATTCTGATGTTATACAATCTATATGTAAGTTGAAATCGGATCTGTAAATCATCAAGAGACTTAAATATCCATTTCATTTCTGAGAAGCCTTGCGAAATAGATAAGAAAGCTATGTAAACACCACACTCGGTACCTATCAACCATAGGAAGGGAAGTGGTTTGAAGATCTTATATACATGATACTTAGAATATGCAGAATCGGTTTTTGGGTCAACTTTGAGGTCCAGCTGAACTCAGTACAGAAGTATCTAGGTTCTGAGCCATATGTGGGAAAGCTCTCTGAGTCTACTTTCTAATTGAACAAATGAAATCAAATTTGGACTTCTGTAGATAAAGATATAGCCTGAGAGGTGTTTTTGGAGACTGAATTTTCTGCACTCGAGAAAAACCCACAATTGTTCATCAAGTATTAAGGTTTCAAGTTTTCTCATATCAAGGTAAGATCCATACCACTTGGCGTTTTTGTGCATCAAAGTTCAATCCAATGTGCAAATTGTTTAAAGTATTTCTTCATGATTCTAACAAACAGTTTTGATTTGTCAAAACAGATAGGACTAGTGTAATGGCCAATTTTGTCTCATAGAATAACCTAGTCAAAGCTTACTTTCATGCTTTCTTTAGAACTAAACAGAACCTACAAAAGCTTCAAATCTCTTTTCCTCTACTTTTCTACTCAGTTTCTTAACATCCAAACACGGTAAAAACAAAATCATGGAAGAAGTAAAGCAAAACACCCATAAGTTACATGAAAAAAGGAACAGAATTGAAGAATGCTTACGCTTTCGTGGCCGCATATACGGCATAAAGAGGATCAGATGGGATGACAATGGCAGCACCAGAACCAATATTCACAATGGCACCTTTCTTTCTCTTGAGCATCCCAGGCAAAACTGCCTGTGTCACTTTTGTAGTCCCTTCAACATTGATTTTAATCAAATCAGCCAACAACTTCTCATCCACTTCATGGAAAAACCTCGCATATGGGTACGAAATACCCACATTGTTAATCAAAACCCCAACTTCTAAACCCTCAATCGCTTCACGAATTCGATCAACCCCTTCGTTTAAATCACCAGAGAAATCAACCACCACAGTCTTGATCTGAATTCGCTTATACTTAGCTTGGACTGACTCCGAAACCTCCTTGAGTTTATCAGGGTTTCGACCCACCAGAACCAAATTCAGCCCCTTACGCGCCAACTGAAAGGCGAAACCTTTTCCGATACCGTCTGTTGGTCCGGTGACGAGTGCCCAAGACCCGTATTTCTTGAGATTCTTTGCAGGTCTGAGGAAATTAACATAAACCCATTTCAGAATAGCTGAGAAACATTTCAATAGAGATATAGATCCAAGACCCAAAAGCAGAAGAAGCCAGACAGGTTGAGATTTGAGCTGGTCTAGGGAACAGTGCTCCATGGATACAGAGTGGTCGAGTTCTTCTGATATGGGATAAAAGAGATGAATCTGAGAAATTGGTTTTTGATTTGTGGCATTAAATAAGAAAACCCAGAAACGAATTGTCAATTGATTGCATGTGGGTGGGTAGGGTTAGTAGTTATTGATGGACTAAAATAAGAAAAAGAGAACACAATAGGCGATGAAATTGAAGAAAGGTGATATCATGATAGTTAGGAGGAAACCGTTGAGCATTCAATAGAAGTACATGTGAGAAGTGTTTGGATTGGGAACTTGGACTCCTTATCTGTGCTAATCAGTTGGTTGTGGTAGATGAGCTGAATATTTGGGGGTTAGGGGTCTTAAATCACAAAAATAAATAAATAAAATAAAACTGTCTTTTGATTGATAAATAAATTTTTCCCTTTTTGATAAAAAATTTGTTTATTATTTATTTTTAAAATTATTTTTTATTATCTTACTTTTAAAAAAATTTATTTGTCTTATGGGCATTTTAGTTAGTCTTCAAATTGAAGAATTATCCAAATTTTGCTCAATTTGAGAAATGTGGGGGAATTTTTTAAACACAAGTTTTTTGCACTTTATCTTTTTTTTAAATAAGTATGACTCAGCACAGTATTGCTCATGTTCATACTCATTTGAGAAGTAGAGGATTGATACCGTTCGGCCACAGGCGCATTGATTCATACCCTATAATTTAAATTTTGCGATTTCACATTTCAGGTCCCAATACTTACTCTCCTCCATCTTTGTGTGATTTAAGTCTAAGTCTTTTTCAATTTCAAGTATAATTATAAAAATGGTTCAAGTCCATATCACTTTTATAATTGATTGATGTAACAAATGGAATATTTTAAAAGAAAAGAGAACCTATCTTATTGACAACTATACAAAAGTCATTGTTAAAAACTCTTTACTGTAGTCACCAAAATAAATTGATTCAGAATTTATGCATCGCAGTATTACTCATTAATTATTCACATAAATTTTACTTGTTCTAGAACCTCAGTGTACCAATTCTTTCAAACCAAGTTTCAATATTTAGGAGGAAAGGGAAGGAAGCAAAGAATAGTTTGACTATAAAAAAATATGTATAAACATTGAAATGAGAGATTAGTATGGAAGTTTGTAAAGAGGAAAAAAAAAAAAAAAAAAGAAGTTTGGAAAAAAATGTTGTTGAAAGCATAAAATTAAGTAAAATAATAAAACTAAAAGAAAAATGATTTGTGTTGCTTTGGATAAAACATAATTGCAAAAACAATAATTTGCATTTAGGGACAGATTTAAAAATTTATATGAGGGTGGCAATTTTTATAGAGTGATTTTTTCATAATTTTAATGGGACAATTTCAAAATTTTATTAGTATAAATACAAAAAGTTACAAATTTAGAAGTATAAAATGAAATAAAAAAATATATATATTCAGTAGGGGCATTCGAAGATCGAAACCTATTTGTATTGTTTTGGGGGTGATTCGTTTCGTGGTGGGTTTGGGAAACCAATTTATATATTTTTCGAGAAAATGAAGTTGATTTAAACTTGGTTTAGAGGCAAAAGAAATAGATAAAAAGGACAACCCAACAAAAAGAAATAAATTATATTCACCACTCATGTGTATAGTTTAATTACATAGTTAGCCCAAGCTGTAAATTACATTAATCATTCATACATCATACATAAAAAAAGACCGACTTTTGTAACCTACTTAAAGATCCGAGCTTCAAAGTATCAAAGGCTACAAGATGGTGAAGATTCGAATCCTATAAGATCAAATGAGTGAGTGATTATTTTGCCAATGATCTTTGGAAATAGTTATGTAATTACATCAAGTTAAATGATGGAGTAGGGTTATTTGCATTTTATAAAAATAATTCAAATGCTACAATTAAATTTTTTTCCTAGCGCCTCAAAGTATATTGAGCTGGTCGGCCCGGTAATTCCTTAAGTAAATACACTTATCATCCATGCATGGTACTAGTGATATTTCTTTTTCTTTTACCATTGACTAGTGGTATGTTTTTTTTTTTCTTTTTAAGGCGAAAGATAAAATGTTGTCACTTTTTTAAAAGTATTGTGAGATTTCTTTGCAGTACAAATAGAAAAATATATATTTACCATTGAATCTCATATGCACTCTATTGTCATGCTATGCTAAGTTTAAAACACAAAGAGAGTGCCTATAAGATAATTGTAGAGAAGTATAGATAATTCTATAATATTGAAAGAGCTCTTCACGTGTTTATAGAAATTGTACAGTAATATGGAAAATTATATAACTTACGGTAAAAATGTAACTAAATATCTAAAAGCATATTTTGGTCTCTATAAATAGGAAGGAACTAAACATCTAAAAGCATATTTTGGTCTCTATAAATAAGAAGGTGGACTCATTTGCTTCACATGCTTTTCGTCAGCTGAGCAAATAAGGGCTTTGGTGTTAAATTGAAGGTAAAAAGTAGGGAAGAGGGTAGGAACCTTATGATTAGATAGTACTGGAATCGTAGCCCTAAATAATGATTTTTACGAGAAGAACGGAAGATAAGGAAGAATTTCGGAATCTCGTCTCGAATTCTCTAAAAATTAACCCTTAAAAAGATAACACATAAGGATCGACAATTGAAGTTATGTACGGAATAAGATTAGGATGGATGTAGTGTTTTGAGTATTTGATCATCGTATTTTCATGACATAGGAATTTACTTTATTTGAAGGATTATTAAATATTTTCTAAATTATCCTCCTATGCCTTCCATGTTATTCGGTTTTGTTAAGGACCTTTCGATACCAGTGAAATATTCTTCAATTCCTTGATTTAGTAGATGTTTATATAACTAAATCTAATAACTTTCTTATTTCTGGTGTAGAATATTATCAGTAAAACTCTATGACACTCATTGCTATAACCAAGCACATCAGTTACAGAATTGTGACCATGGTGGGAAATGAATCTCATTTTTAGAATATATGCTTGGATTCCTTATTGTCCGGTGGCTGAAGATGTGCCAAAGGGTCGAATGGCTGAGGCTTTTACTGTTTTGAGAGACTTGAAGCTGTCAGTTACCGCAGGGCCGGCCCTGAGATTGCAAAAATCTTGAGAGGCTCTAGGCGAAGTTTAAATATGAGACCCTTTGTACATAAGTTTCATAGGCATAAAAAAAATAAAAATAAAAATTATAAAAGTGCAAAATTTTCAATAAAGTAAATGTGACCGTCTTGTATTTTGAGCTGCAAAATCATCCATTAAAGTGCTCAAATCAACTTTATCCAACACATTTTTTTCAATAGACAAGTAGCCAATCCATTCAATCTCTCGTGTCAATTGATATGCTGGCTTTCTTTTTTTTTTTGTTTTGAGACCCCATAAATGGTTTGTTGGGTTACAAATTTTTTTTATTTTTTGGTGGCCTATAAATTTTGAGACCCTTTAAAAGATTTGCTGCATATGGTTACATTTTTTTTTGGGTGGCCCATCATGCATGGGCCTCAAAATTTTGAGGCCCCTTAAAATCTGAGGCCCTAGGCGACCGCCTGGGTCGCCTTGGGCCAGGGCCGGCCCTGAGTTACCGGGCATGCAATGGATATTGGATTGGTCGAGTTTTCACCCGTTCGTGAACACTTCTTGTTTGCGCTTGGTAACACATCAGAAGCATGAGGTTTCAGAGTCATTTTTTTGTTGTTGTTGACATGTTAAATCAGGGTTTATCTTTGGGACAGTTTACATCATTGCTTGTGTAGGAACTATATGTTGAAGAGCATCATTTCCCTTTTTAATGTTTTCAATGTGTCACTTTTTATTTTGTCATGATAATATTGTCTGTAAAAACTGATTTTTTTTATAAGCTTTACATTGACCATGCATTTGGTATATATACTTAAGCTATCCTATTATGTTTAGCATTGGGAGGATCAAGTTTCTAGGCTTAACCAGTAACTTCTCTGAGCGTCCGAGTTAGCTTGTATGTCAAAAAAAGATAACAACAATAATAAAATTTGTAAAACAATCGAAGCAAGATCTCTTCAATCTAATTTTGTGTCCTTCAAATAAGAGGTTCAGTGGTGTAGAGCTAATATTCTACAAGTCGGTGCAGTGGTAATTCCATTTGGTGTTAAGTAATTGCGTCTTACTCATGATTTTTCCTTTTAGAAACCAAATGAATGAAAACTGACCGATCGTGTAATGTGATTTGTGACTTCTCTTATGTTGGTAAGCTTTGTTGGAAGAGTGAAGGGTTAAAATAAATTTAATCTAAAGACTCTTCCACTGATCTTCATATATATGTTTCCACTGATTTTCTTTTTAATTTTATAGAGCAAAATTACAAACGTAAATTTCTGAGATTTAAGGGGTTTTTTTTCCCTCACTTCTTCGCCGTTCACTTATAATTTGTCATCCTTAGGTAGTTTGTTCTGTCCCTTCTAGAGTTAGGGCTATAAAACGTGGGGTAAAAAGGTTGTAGGGTATGAGTGGTGAGTTTTGACTCCCATTTTTTTTTTTTTTTTTTTTTTTTTTTTTTTTTTGATAAGTAAGAAATTTATAAAAAGTGCTCAAGAGGGAAGCGCATCCCAAGGGAACAAAAAGGGGCCAAAAAAGCCATTACACTTTTAAAGAGGCCAAAAAATTAACTATTTCATCTAAAGATCTATAATCTCTACTTGGAACCTAACAAAAAAAGGTGAAAATAATAGAGAACTTAAGAAAAGAAATAGGCCTCTCATTCCCCTCAAAATATCTCATATTCCTCTCAAGCCAAATATACCACCACACATAAAGAGGAGTAGCCCTCCAAGCATCACGAACATGGCCCCCCACAAAACACCCTCTCCAAGCCTCAATCAGCTCTCTGGCGGAGTGAGGCATGACCCATTGAAACCCAAGCAAGCCAAGCATCAAATCCCAACAATCCTTGGCCGTGGGGCAATGCAAAAGAAGATGATCAATTGTCTCCTCGTCCCTAAGACACATGTAGCACTGATTGACCACCACCTGATTTTTCCTTCTCAAATTATTCTGAGTTAAAATTTTGCCCAACACAGAAGTCCAAGTAAAGAAGGCCACTTTGAAATGACCCTTAGAACGCTAAATCGACTTCCACGGGAAGGGCCCTTCAGGCTCCACAGAAAGACACCTGAAAAAGGACCGCACATTAAAACGACCCTAAGCACTGGAGCCCAAGTCCAACCATCAAACTCACTAACCGTGACTCCCTGCTGATACAACAACTCCAACAGACGAATGGCATCCTCAACCTCCCAATCCTGAAAGAGACGCCTAAACCGAGCATCCCACACCAATCTCCCGCTATCAAGATGATAACAGTCA